GTGGATCTTCAGGGTGAAGCGGCCGCCGGGCTCGCCGCCTGTCTTCAAGGCGCGTTACGTGGCTCGTGGCTTCAGTCAGCGGCAGGGAGTTGACTACTTTCAGACCTTCTCTCCCACCCCGAAGATGACCACTCTTCGGGTGCTGCTGCACATTGCCGCTCAGCGCGACTACGAGCTTCACTCTCTCGACTTCAGCACTGCGTTCCTGCAGGGTAGCCTGCACGAGGAGATCTGGCTGCGCCGTCCGCCTGGCTTCACTGGGACTTTCCCTCCTGGTACCCAGTGGAGCCTCCGACGGCCAGTCTACGGTCTCCGCCAGGCACCGCGTGAGTGGCACGACACACTGAGGACTACGCTTGCGGCTCTTGGGTTTGCTCCTTCTACTGCTGACCCGTCGCTGTTTCTTCGCACCGACACTTCCCTGCCGCCGTTCTACATCCTCGTGTACGTCGACGACTTGGTCTTTGCCACAGCGGACACTGCTGGACTCGCCTACGTGAAGTCCGAGCTGCTGAAGAGACACACGTGCACAGACCTGGGTGAACTGCGCAGCTACCTTGGCTTGCAGATCACTCGGGACAGAGCACGCCGCACCATTACCCTGACTCAGTCACACATGGTGCAGCAGGTCCTTCAGCGCTTCGGCTTCACGTACTCCTCGCCTCAGGCCACTCCTCTGCCTACTCGCCACTCACTCTCAGCTCTGCCTTCGGATGAGTCCGTAGAGTCGAGTGGTCCGTATGCAGAGCTTGTTGGCTGCCTCATGTACCTGATGACCTGCACTCGACCTGACCTTGCATACCCTCTGAGCATCCTTGCACGCTATGTTGCTCCTGGGAGACACCGACCAGAGCACATGGCTGCAGCGAAGAGGGTATTGCGCTACCTGTGCAGTACGTCGGGCATGGGGCTAGTGCTTGGAGGGCGGAGTCCAGTGGTCCTTACTGGGCACGCAGACGCTTCTTGGGCTGACGACCAGGCTACGCAGCGGTCGTCACAGGGTTACACCTTCAGCCTTGGTTCCGGCTCTGTCTCGTGGCGGTCTACTCGCTCGTCTTCGGTTCTCGGCTCCAGTTGTGAGGCTGAGATCTACGCCGGGGCCATGGCTGCACAGGAGCTTCGCTGGCTCACCTACCTGCTGACTGACCTTGGAGAGCTGCCTCGTTCTCCTCCAGTGCTGTACGTAGACAACAAGGCCATGTTGGCCTTGTGTCGAGAGCAGCGCTTGGAGCACAGAACGAAGCACATTGCTCTCCGCTACTTCCTTGCTCGTGAGCTGCAGCAGCGTGGTCAGTTGCGACTTGCTTACGTGGCCTCTGAGGCCAACACTGCTGATGTGTTCACCAAGGCACTTGCGCCTTGCGACCATCAGCGCTTTTGTACCCAGCTGGGTCTTGTACCTGTCTTGCCTCACTTGCTCTCTTCTTGACTTTACTTGTACTTTGACATATATATACCTGCTCTTGCTTGTCTAGTTTTATATATATGTCTTTACTCCTGCATGTGAACTGGCCTCTGGCCTTGCTCTTGTGCTCGGACTGTGTGGTGACTTTGTGATCCACCCTGAGCTTGTTTTGCTTTGCTTGACTGGTCTTGTGACCCCTTGTTCTCCCCCACTTTGCCTATGGGGGTGTGTCAGATTATTATAGCTGATGCATGTTTGTAGGCTATAGTGGGGTAGCACATATGGGGTACAGTTTGCTAGGGTTGTATTTGTACCCAACTCTGACTTAGTCAATTCATTCCTCTGCTCATAGTTTCACACCTTATTCATCCGAGCCCGATCGATGGCGTGAATCGGTACTGTGACTCGGTGAGGGTCGGTGTGGTTGGGCGAGCAGGCAGTCTCGTCAGTAGTTGGCCCAACTTCTACTGACTGCTGGCGTTTCCCTGCCTCTGAGACTCCTTCCCCTGCTCTGCTCCTCGACGCCTCAGCTCCTCTGGACATTCGCTCTTGCGATGGCCCGGCCGGTTGCAAGCAAAGCATCGCCCTCTAAATGGCGTGGCAGCTGCATTCGTTGCGACGGCATGTACAGTGGCGTGCTCGATCGGTCCCCGAGGGCGATGTCCGAAATAGGACCCCGGTCTCGGTCGGCGTAGGATATCGATTTTCTCGGCGAGCGCGAGGATTTCGTTGAAATTCGATAGCCCGCGTAGCATTATCTCGTGCGATATGTCCGGCTTCAGCCCTCCGACGTAACGGTCCACCCGCTCCGCCTCGTGCATGTAGCCGACCTGTTCGCAAAGTGCGAGAAAACCGCTGGTGTAGTCTTGAACCGACCCGAGCTGGCGCCAAGTGCGCAGTTTCTGACGCGCCGAAATCGAAGCCGCGATCGGCTCAAAACGCGCCCGAAGCCCTGCGCACCACGCATCCCACGTGCTGTATTGGGCTGTTTCGCAGAACGAACTCCAGGTGACAGCTGGACCCGAGGGCCCTTCCTCGTGCGGCGGTGGCTCGTAGGCGCGTGGCGACGTCACGATGACTCGCCACCAGTCCATGGCGGGGCCCCTGAGTAGTGAAACCGCATACCGAATCTTGGCGGCGTCCGACTCGACGTAGTTGGCGTCGAAAAACACATTCATCGTGAAGACCCATGATTGAACTGTCGGGCCGCCGCGTTGGCTTGGGTCGAAGCAGGGCGGGCGTTGCGGCTTGAGTGGCATTGGGGCCATCATGGCGTTTTCACCACTTGTCGTCGCAAACTCCACGTGCCGACGGGCTTCTCGGGGCTCCCGTGGGCTTAGCGTGCTCCTGTTCCCTCCCATGCCGGGCATCGGTTGGGCTGCGCCGTCACTGGCTGCGCCTGAGCGCTGTCCCGTGCTGTTGTGTTGCGTCGGTGTGCCGGATGAAATGATAATCGGCTCCTCCGAATGTACAGAGACATTGGTTGGTGCGTGGGATGTTGTCGGAGCATTCACCGCTGACTGTTGACGGGCGGAGTCACGTTCCGCCGTGAGCGTTGCGATTTCAAGCGCCGAATCCTCCAATTGTCGCACGAGACGATCGAGTTGCTCCTGCGTCAACGTGGCGAGATTGAGGTTGGCCATGGCGGGGGTGTCGGGCAAGCTCAGCGAGAGCCTCGGTCGTGGCCGTGCGTGCTTGCGAGAGAGCACTTCGAGCGGCGGTGCTGTGTCGCTGAGAGACGTCTACCCCCCCCAAAAATTGAGATAGTGGGAAGCGAAGGTGTGGATGCGGTCCGAGATGAGATCGTAGGCTCTGATACCAAGTGTTACGTGTGCAATTGAGTGAACGAACGAGAATTGCACTATCGAAGCAAAAGTACAATGAGCGAAGGCATGAGCGAAGGATTATATAGCGAAACAATAGTGGTAACGGTAATGGACTGTGGTTGTCGCGCGTCGAGCCTGAGACTGAGGTTGGGAAAGTGTCGAAGCGTAGGCCCGGAGCGCGGGTTACCAGCCGAGCCGTGAGGTCGGGATGCGATGTGCGAAAAAGGCGGGATGATGAATGATGCGATGGTCGCGAGTGGTAACGGTGCTGACTGAGGTGCTACAGTGACGTACGCGCTGGGCAGGGACGCGAAGTAAGGAAAAGGGAATTTCCTTACACTGAGGCGTATTTTGGGAGTTCTAGGGCTGCAGTCTTGTGGTAGGTTACTACGTGGGAGCTTAATAGGAAATATTTTGTAGCGAAACAATAATGTTGTATGCTCGAGGCTCTTCTTCCCGCGCTCACGGAAAGGAGCTTATAGCGAGGTACGAACTTGCCACAGCAATCCCAAGGAAAACTCCAAGCCAATCCCGTGGCCCATCGTACGGCTGAAATTGGATGTAGCAAAAATAGCCCTGTCCCGTGGCCCAGCCCCAGCCCCAGCCCCAGCCCCAGCAGATGTCATGGCATGGTGCCACCACCACCACTTCACTCCACAATCAGCATATGATTCCAACCACTCACTCTCCCATGGAGTGACGATTATTGCTCGTCCAAGCCGCTCAGGCGGCTAACCGACTTGACGTGCTTAGAACGTCAGATTATTCTCAACTTTGTGAGCTGCTATCTGGCGGCGTTTGACTGAGTCGCGAGCCGCGGCGTGCGGACGTGAAGGCACGTCAGATCGTTTGGATCTGTGAACCATTCATTTTGTTCCTTTCAAGTCGTAGGAAATTAAATCGGCTGCGGATTTCTATCATAGGTCACACGGTAAGAACGAAATTGAGTGACTTAGGTGCCAGTTCTGGTTGAATCAGGTAATTGACGACTGAAGGGAAGTTACGGACGCAATGGAAGGAAGATGCCAGGTGACAGACAGGTGGAAGATAGTTGTGAGGTTTCAGGTGGAGGATAGATGTCATGTGAAGATGACAGATACGGATCAGTGAGGGTTGTGGTCGACTTGAGATAAGCTGTTTGGCGGAGAGGAGTAAGAGACGGTTCTGTGAGTTATCACGGACCCACAGTCCCCGTGACCCCGTGAGACCTCAAAGACCTGCTACGCAAGCTTCGATCAATGGCTCGCCTATGATGAGGGCGCGTACGTGAGACGGATCGGAAGGGGGTGGATGGGGAGAAATGGAGGGGTAGAGGGGAAGGGGAAGTGAAGGATGCGAGGGGGTGGGGGGGGTGGGGGAAGATGGAGCGTGGGAAAAGTGAAGGACTGGCATCCAACCATTCGCGCTATATTTTTTTCGAATCAGCGATCGCTTGCCTGTACTGGCGTAGTCGTACCTGTTAGCCTGGTTCGATCTAGCTTAGCCTCTCTTTCATCAAGTTTATCTGGTAGGTATCGGCCAGCGTCATTCACGGATCGTCCCTCTCACATCGCCACTTTTCAACCATGCGTCTACAGTAATCGATCATACTTGATTAAGCGCATACCACCTACTATTACGACAACGATCATCTCTTTTTTTTCCACAGGTCAACCACTTACCTCCACGCAAGACTCACCTTATTTTCCACATGATCTATCATCCATTACCCGCTATAACCGCCAGCTATTACCACCAGCTAGTACCACCTGAAGAGTTCCTGGTCGATTATGCTGCGTATCGATTTCCAGTTGTCTCGCTCAGTTCTCAATTTCGCATCTACCTACTCACTCTCCCTCTTCGCCTTCCCCATTGCCCTCCCTTATCCCCACCATCCAGCAGCAGCAGCAGCAGCAGCAGCAGCAGCAGCAGCAGCAGCAGCAGCAGCAGCAGCAGCAGCAGCAGCAGCAGCAGCAGCAGCAGCAGCAGCAGCAGCAGCAGCAGCAGCAGCAGCAGCAGCAGCAACAGCAACCATGGCTCTCGGACCATCCGATGCATCTCCTCCTCCTCCCTCCCACACTTCCCCCACGCACTCCTCTATCGATTCCCCCAGTCCTCCGCCCTCCGCCGTTCCCCCTGGCGATAGCACCGCCGCTCCTTCCGCGCTGCCTCACAGCCCGGACGCAGCCAATGGGAGCGACAAGGAGGATGATATGGTGCTACAGCCGTTGGTAGACTATGGTAATATGGACGACTGGGATGAAGATGCTGACGTGGAGGATGAGCTCCTAAGGCCAGCTGTTGAACGGGTTAGCGATTCGCCCTCCCGCCCTCCTCATTCCCCCTTGCCTGCTGCGGAAACGAAAGGGGGAGAAGGAGAGGGGAGGAAAGGGGGAGATGGGGAGAGGGAGGAAGGTGCGAGGAAGGGCGGAGAGGAGCGGGCCGAGGGAGAGGAGGGTGAGAAGGACGGGGAGAGGAGAATCAGCGAAGAAGAAGGGAGGAGCGGCGGGGAGGGAAGGGCGGAGAGGGACAGAGGAGACAGAGGAGACAGAGGGGAGAGAGTGCATCAAGTGGATGAGTTTGGAAGGGTCGTGCGGAAGGGAGAGGGGAGTGAGAGCGATGATGATGCAAGAGACGGGAAGAAAGGGAGGAGGAGGAGGAGCAGGAGCGCGGAGAGGCATCGTTCAAAGAAAAGAGGCAGGAGCAGGAGCAGGGGGAAGGGCAGAAGGAGAAGCAGTAGCAGGAGCAGGAGTCGGAGCAGGAGCAGAGGGAGAGGGAGAGGGAGGAGTAGAAGCAGAAGCAGGAGCCGAGGGCGCGATGCAGGTGGGGAGGAGAGAGGGAGGCAAGGCGGCTCACCTGATGGCAGCAGCAGGAGAAGGTCTGTTCGCTCTCCCTCTCATTCCCCCTTCCCCCGCCCAACCGTCCACTCCTCCTGCCGTCTCTTTTTCTCTCGAATGGTCTTCTATTTCTATCTCTCTCTTTCGCACGCACATCCTAGCCCTTACCTCTGGCAACCTGCTCTCTCTGCTCTCCCTTCATGACACCTCCCTCCCATCCTCCCTCCCCTCGCCATCTGTCTGCGGGCTCCGTTCCTCGTCTTTCCTCGCCCCATATCTTCGTATGTACCCCACTAGTTCATCATGTCAAACGTGTGCATTGGACAGTACCATACCATTCCGCACTTTCCTTTCCCAACTCCCTGTATCCGCCTTAAAGAAAGGCATTCGGTTCTTTATTGTCCGCTGCACCTCTCCCCCTTCCCAGTCCATCTCTGTCCGCCATAGCATCTGCGCCCGCTCAGGCATATACCCCCTCACCCCCCCCCTCCCCCCCCCCTCCCCACACACATCTCCGGCCCCTTTCTCCGCTTGTGTCTCCCCTCCGCTCCCTTCCCGCCTCAGCCCTTCCCCCCATGGCAGTCGGTCCCGGGAGGGGAGGGCGCGGGGAGGAGGAACGCGCGTTTCGCGCTGGGGTGAGGGTGGCGGGGAGCAGCCTAAGGAGCAGCAGAAGGAGCAGGAGCAGAACGAGGAGCAGGGTCGGGACGAGAGTCGGTGGGAGGAGGGCAGGTGGGACGAGGAAGAGGATGAGGAGCGGGCGCAGAGGGGAGGGAGAGGCAGGAGGGAGGGGGAAGAGGATGACAGGAGGGAAAGGCTTGAAAGGGGGAGGAGGGAAGGATGGGAAAGTAAGGAAGGGCGGCGGGAATGGAAAGGCAGCCAACGGGAAGACAGAAATGAGCGGGGAAGGGAGAGGGAGAGGGGGAGGGAGAGGGAGAGACATATGGAGAAGGGGGAGGAGTGGGAGAAGGAGCAAAGAGGAGGGTCGGAGAGGGATAGGAGGGATGGTGGGAGAGAGTGGGGAAGTGCAGGAAGAGAGAGGGAAGAAGGTGGAAGAGGACGAGAGGGGAGGAGATCTGGGGACAGTGACAGGGACGGAGAGTATTGGAAGGAAGGGCAACTGAACGGGAGGGAAAGGCGGAGAGAAGGGGGGAGAGAAGGGGGGAGAGAAGCAGGGAGAGGGCGGTCCAGTGGTTGGGATGAAGGTGGGAGGTTGTCAAAAGGTGGTGAAGCAGAAGGAGCAGGTGCCATTGCGCCTTTGAAGGGACCTACAGGTGAGGATAGTGCTGCAATGATTGCTGCTGCAGGAGCGGTTGCTGCTAGATTCGCTGCTGCTAAAGCTGCTGCTGCTGGGATTGTTGCTGCAGCAGGTGAAAACCCAGGGGGGTCGGTCTTGGAGGGAGGGCACCAAGACAAGCAGGAAGGGAAGGAAGAGAAGGATGAGGGGGGAGGGCAAGCAGCAGCAAGCGGGGCACGGAAATGGGCCTCGAAATGGGATAAGACTGGCGGAACCGGTGCCGCTAGTGCTGCTGCTCCCACTATTGCTGCCCCTGGCCCTTCCGTATCTGCTGCCTCTGCCTCTGCCCCTGCTGCTTCTACCCCTGCACCGTTTCCACTGCCCGGCCAGCCACAACCCCATCACCAGGAATCATCCTCTGCCCCCCCGTTCAACCAGCAGCCTCTTTTCAGGCCTCCCTTTCCTCCTGCTCCTGCCTCTCATCCCCCTTTTGGCGCCGCCCCTCCTCCTCACGCTAACAACTATCCTCCGGGACCATTTCCCCAGCAGCAGCAGCAGCAGCAGCAGCAGCAGCAGCACCCCAACTACCCGCAGCAGCAGGGGCAGGGATACAGGCATGGGCAGGGACAGTGGCCCGGGCAGGGGCAGGAGCAAGGTCCCCCATGGGCCCCCCATGCGCCTCCACTTCCTCCTGTTCCCCCTCCCCCGCTGCAGCCTCCGCCTAGTAACCCCCCTCCCCCGCTGCAGCCTCCCCCTCCCCTTCCCCCGACCCCCCCGCCCCCTATGCATGGGGCGCAGCAGCAGCATCTCCCCCAGCAAGCGCTCGGGGGATGGCCCCAAGGCCAGATGGGGGGGGGAGCGGGCGGATCAGGGGGGAGAACGGGGGGAGGAACAGGGGGAGGGGTTGCATCGGAGGAGTATGACCCTCTGGCTGATTGTATGGACTTGGGGGATGGGGAAGAGAGTGTAGGGGGGCCGTGGCACCAGCGACAGCAACAGCAACAGCAGCAGCAGCAGCAGCAGCAGCAGCAGCAGCAGCAGCAGCAGGGCGGTCCAGTGCCACCTCTTACCCACCAGTTTCCAGGGCATTCTCAGCCTTTCGGAGGCTCTTATACCAACAATTCTGGCCCGCAACCCCATTTGCAAGGCCAGCCTCAGTCTGCCATGGCTCCTCAGTTCTCTCAACAGCTGCCTCCTCCCCCTCCTCCGCCTCCCCTGCTGCCACCAGCAGCACATGCAAACCCCCCTCTTGTTTCAACCAACACAACCACCAGCACCAGTGCCCCTCTCCATGCTTCTTCCTTCCCGCAGCTGCCCGGTGCCCCCGCCCACCCGTCTCTCTCCGCATCTGGCCTCTCCCCTGCCTTAGCTACTGCCCTTGCGAATGCGGCTGCTGTTGTGGCTGCAGTAGCTGTGCCAGCAGGAGCGTCAGGCTCGTCCTTTGCTCCTGCTGCGACAGCAGGGTCGGGGGCAGGCGGAGGGGCAGCCGCAGCAGCAGCAGGAGGAGGAACAGAAACTTCTCAGGTTTCGTTGGCTATGCTGCCGCTGCCGCCGCTGCCACCGCTTCCCCCACTGCCAGCATCACCACCCGCTGAGTCTGAGCCTGATGATGTTCCTGGGGCAGAGAATGGTGGGGCATCTTCTGACGAGAAGGGCAAGTCAGAGGACGATGTGTCTATGGAAGTCGATGGGAGGGATGAAGATGAGAAAGACACTCAGGAGGATGTGACTGGGCGGGAAAAAGGCAAGGGCGGTGAGAAGCGGAGATCTGGGAAGAAGGAAGGGAAGAGTGGGAGCAAGCGTGGGAGCCGCAGCGGTGCGGGAGGAGGAGGGGGGGAGAAAGGGGGCGACGGGAAGAGTAAGAGTGGGTTGAGCAGTAAGCAGGCTCTGCTTAGAGTGGGGGTTGCGGAAGTGGTAAAGGAGGCTCTTAAGCCTGTGTGGAAGGAGAGGGGGCTGTCCCGGGAGATGTTTAAGACGATTGCGAAAAAGGCTGTGGAGAAGGTGGTGGGGGCGGTGCAGGAGAAGCACCTGCCTAAGAATGAGAAGCAGGTGCAGGCGTATCTGAGCGAGCACAGGAAGGAACGGATCACGTCGCTCGTCCAGGTGCGTGCGTGGGTGGGTGCTGTTGGTGCAGTGGGGATTTGTTATGGGTTACTTGGGTGGGGGTTTTGGTGGCCCCACCCTGGTTGTGAGTTGTGGGTGGTTTCCCGAATGGGGGCCTTGGGGTTGGGTTTTAGAGAGTTGGTAAAAAAAGGAGAAAGGGCTGGGGATTATGTCTCTGTGCGGACACTGTCATGATTATGTGCTCTTGCATGCATGCCCATGCAGGCATGCAGGTGCGTGGACTGCTTAGTGAAGGGACTTGCTGTGGGTACATGTGCACATGTACCACTGTTTTATGTCCTCATCATACCCCATCAATCCCGTTTCTCATCCCTCTATCCCCTTGACTTGACACCCATGTAACCCGTTACTCATGTACTCAACTACCCTTCTTTCCGCCTGCCCATCCCGTGTACTTGCCGCCTTTCACAGGCCTATGTGGGCAAGTACAAAAAGGGATGACACATGGGATGGGAGGATGGATGTATGATTGATGGGCCAATGGTTTTGCTGTAATGGTGCACATGGGTCATGCATTAATTTTTCTTTCTGGCACTCGTACGGTACCGTACCTAGTAGACCATTTTTTTGTACGAGTTAAACCAAATTCATGCACTTAATTGCCTGTCAGTCGGCTCAGCACTTATGGCTTCGTTTTTGTGAGAAGAATTGTAGAAAGGAGATGCAAGCAGTAATTTTTAGACTTGTGAAGAGGAGTGAAGACCACTTACCGTACCTACATATTGTGGTAGATTTCCAGATTACCTGTCCTCTGATTGACAAGCAGGCTGAACAGCAAGAAGCTCAGAAGTGTCGCATTGTGCAAATCTACAACTGCATATCATCCGTACTGGAGAGTATATGCCACTTACCTAGAGTCATACGGTACTACGTATATGAAATAGAGCAGTAAGGTTTTCCCAGCTTTAAGGATGAAGAAAAACTTGTAAACTCCTTGTTGAGTGAAGGAAAGGCTCGTAACAGTCGTGGTGTTCGCAACCGAGCTTTGCGCGCGAAACCACTTTCACGTACATGCACCTCCCACTACAACTTGGTCACTATAGAGGAGCCGCAACACTAGACCGAGCCGAACTGTGCAGTAACGGGGGGGGTGGGAGTGGGAGTGGGTGGGTGTGGTGTAACGGAAGTGGGAATATTTACTGTACATGGGGAGAGAGGGCAGTGTAGAGAGGGGATTGGAGTTCGAGGGATGGATGGAGGGAAGCCTGCTTGTGAGTGATACTGTAGGAGGTAGCCTACCCGCTTCGGGTCGGTTCGGGGGCAGGGCTGTCGATTGGTTTGGAGCCAGAACTTGAGAGGCTGAGGTGCCCCAAAAGTTGCCCTGAAATTTACGGGCTGAGAGCGAACCTGGCACTTGAAATCAGGGCTACCAACTTTTTTGCACTTTCGCTAAGGAAACCCTACATCTCTTCGGGTCCGTTATCTTAAGAGAACTACTAAGAGCCAGCTAAGCAATAGGCTGAGGAACGAAACTTGTCGATGGATTTGACAGGGATGGGAAAAGTAGGGGAGTGGCTGGGAGGAGGCGAGTGGACTGGTGAGGGAATGGAAGGGAGGGAGGTATTAGTATGGGACGATAAGGGCTAGCCGCGGGATCTGCACTTGAAATCCGGGTTAGGCCCACAACCAGCACTTTACGGGGACGGGCTGCCCTCAAACCCAACCCTTAAAATTCGGAAGCTGGGCCGAACCCAGCCCTTAATGTTCAGGGCATTAAGGGCATTTGCCCTTGAATCGTCAGCCCTGGTCGGGGGGACGGAAGTCGGGAACTGTGTGAGAGCTGCTGCGTAGCTGCGTCGGACGGCTCGCGCGTGGGTCTTGTGGGTTTTCCCTGTTCGGTGGCCTTCCAGTCACACTGGGCCCACTCGAACTGGGGAAGCCTACGACATGTTTCGTAGCCTCGGGCGTCCACTCACACTGAAAGGAAGTCTCGTCCACAAATGCAAGAAGTTACCGTGTGTTTCTCGAGAAATTACTGGTCGAAACTTTTACTTCTGTACGAGGCTGCCCAACTCACAAACAAAAAACAGCCCGCCAAATGAAACACCCTCGATATGGATAAAAGAAAATCACGAACGGGCACGATCTCTCATCATTTGAACGAGCGAGCTGAAAAACATAATTTGACCCAATTCGAACTTAATGCAGCGTTTACCCTCCAGCGTGCCACTCAGAGCGGGCCTGCCTCAGTGGAACTGGAAAGCAGAAATGGGTTGACTTTCACTGGCGGTCGAGCTTGCCTGAGCAAGCATTTTCGTGGTAGCGTCCTCAACTTCACTCGGGCTGGGGTTTTCACGCGTTCGGTAGCCAATTTGCACTGGGCAGGTATGGTGTTCTAATAACGGTTCGGTGGGTTTTAAGGTGATTCGAAATTGGGCCGAGGAAGAGCACCTGCACCAACTGCAGTGTGACTGTGGGGGCTACCGAACAGGGCCTTAGCTGTGGTCCGAGTAGTTCAATCATGCGAAGGCAAGAGGTATGTGGTTTGTGATTATCAAGTTGACCTAACTGAAAGAATGCTTTCGAGTCTACTGTCTACCTACGTTTGCATCAACAGGTAATTACTGGAACAACTCCTCCAATGTCCAACTAATTACCACCACGTAGCAGCAAGGAAAATGGTGTTCTGTCAGCGCATATGCTATGCGCTTCCTGACAGACCTGGCCCTAGGAGCTCTGCCGTCCAGCGAAAGAAGGAACCGAACGTGCGTATCATCAGCGGTGGGCGTTAGGTCGAGCTAAGGGAGGGACCGTACGTGCGTACAAGTGGTGGCGAGGGGAGCGTTAGGTCGAGGCAAGGAAGGTACTACCAGAAATGCGCACGGCTCCATTCTAGTCCACGTTAGGTCAAGCGCACCCGGAAGCTCTCCGCACCGTAGCCGCTTCTCCCTTCTACTCCACACGAGCGCGTAGGTGCTTCGATTTTTGTTTTGCCTCCCCCTCGTCGAGCCGCGACCTAGCTAGCTCCCCGTCCGCCTATCGCGCCAGCTCTTGTCTTCCTAGGTCTAGCTGTGTAGCCTCTAGTCTCACCGAAACTAGCTTTAGCTCTCTCAACAAGCCGGCGCGTCTGTGTCGTTTCAGGGTAATTGACGTTTGTTACCCGCAACAGACGCTTCGTCCCGTCGGCGACGCGTTCTGAAATGGCTGCAGAAACGGCAGGCCAGGTGACTTCAGATACGTCTTTAAACGCAACTACTGCTGCCGTCCTAGCGAACGTGACTCAAACAGACGGAGCATCAGCGCCGGCGGTGACGCCGGCATCGGCGGAAATGGAGGAAGCGGCAGCGGCGGCGGCAGCGGCGGTGCCGGCCGCTTCGGCAGGCCCGTTAGAAGTCGCGACCGATGCGCATGCGTCTGCGCAAACCTTCACGACAGCCGAGAATGAGGGAAGTGTCGAGTCGGCAACTGCGAACATGCAAGAAGGGTCGAGCTCGTCCGTAAGTCTTCCGAACAACGGCGTACCGGCTTTAATCTCCGTTGAAACCACACCGACCTCCAGTGAGCCGTTACCCGCTTCCTCCTCCCCGTCAGTTGCGGAGCCTCCCGCGCCTGACAACGCTGCCGCGCGCGCAGATGTGCCTGCGCCCGATCGCGCAACGAAGGTTGCTGCGCCTGCGCTACCGGCCGCTCTTCCAGACGAGGCGGCGGACCAGGCTCCGTCGGTCGGTACGCCGAAAGACGCACTCTCCGCGGCGGCGGTGGGGGGGGGCGCTGGCGGAAAGGGGAAGATGGCGCGGTGGCGGGGGAAGAAAGAGATCGTGGTCGGGCGGCAGGCGGTGCGGCGCCCGCGGGTAGGCGGCGGACATAGCGGCACGTGGGACGTTACTCAGGGTGCACCGGGGAAGGACCCCCACCACCAGCAGCAGCCGACTATGCAGTTCACTTACCGCTTTAACGTCGGGAAGAAATTAGGAGAGGGAGGCTACGGGCTCGTCGAGACGTGTAACGACACGACGGGAGAGCTTGGCGCGGGGCCGCTAGCCGTTAAAACCATTTCCAAGGAGGCGCTTTACGCGGACTGTCAGCGGCTCGAGGACTTCGAGGCGCGCCGCATCGCGTTGGCGCGCGAGGTGGACGTAATGAATCGCGTGCGCGGGCACGAGCACGTGGTGCAAGTTAAAAAGGTGTATAACAACAGCGAGCGATTGCGCGTCGTCATGGAGATGTGCGAGGCGGGTAACCTTCTAGAACACCTCGCGGCGCGGATCGAGCTCCTGAGGCAAGAGCGAGGAAGCTTCGGCAGCGTCGGCGGGTTCTTCGGCTCCAGCGGCGGCGGCGGCGGCGGCATCGGCGGGTTCGTATTCGGCAGTGGTGGCGGCGCAGGCGGTCGGGGCGCGCGCGGCGGGCGCGGGCCGTGGGCGGGAGGGCTCCCGGAGAACGAAGCGGCGGTGTTATTCAAACAGCTAGTGGAGGGCGTCGCGTTCTGCCACCGGCGGCGCGTGCTGCACCGCGACGTGAAACTGGAAAACGCACTCCTCGCGCTGCCCACGGGGCGGCGGTCCGAGGCGGACGACCTGGAGGCGGAACTGCGCATGGTCTCTGCGGACATGGCGCACGCGGTGGACGACGCCGCGGCGGGCGGAGCGGGGGGGGCGGGTGGGAATGGGGGGGTGCAAGGAGACGAGGGGGTGCGGTCAGCAGGGAGCACAACGCCGACAGGAGCTAGTCCGCACCAGCGCCACCACCACCACCACCACTTTAATCTCTTCAGTATCCTTCCCCAGGGCGCGCGGTCCCCCGCGCTCAAATCCCCCGCTTGTGACAAGTCCCCTAGGCTAAACTCTCCTGATAACGTTCCACCTCCTGCTGCTGCTGCTGCAGGCGCGTTCGCACGCTCCGCGTCTGCGCCAGGTCCCCCGCCTAAATCCCCCATCAACGCGCGCCCGCCGCGCTCCCCGCGCCTCGCCGCGCCCATCCCGCCGTCCCCCTCGGAGTCCGCCGCGCCCTCTCCCGCCGCGATCGCCGCCGCCGTGTCCGCCGGGTCGTCCGCCGTCTCCCTTGGCCTTGTGGTGAAGCTAGCCGATTTCGGATTCGCTATGGTGCTTCGGGACGGGGAAACAGCCTCGGGAACATGTGGCACTCCTGGTTACATGGCGCCTGAGTTAGTATCTGAAGAGAAATATTCTTTCCCTGTGGATATCTGGAGCCTAGGGGTTGTCCTACACGCGTTACTTTTCGGCGAGTTACCGCATTACCGCGAGCCGCGCGACGTGGTTACCGAGGGGGTGCCACGCCCGTCTGCCCGGAAATGGAAAGTAATTTCGGAAGCTGCCCATGAGCTGCACCAATCAATTCTCCAGCTGGACCCGTCCAAGCGGCCGACAGCAGCGGAGATTTTGAAACACCCGTGGTTTGAGCAGGCTGAAGCTGCTCTGATGGCAGGTGAAGGGGCAGAGGCTGGGGGGGGAGCAGCGGGGGACAGAGACGGGGCAATTGTTGCCAAGAGCGGGCGAATGAAGAGTGCGAGAGCAGCGAGCGGGAGGGTGAAATCTGGACGGAATATGGACTTTCTGGGGATGAAGGCGGGTGGGGGAAAGGAGGGCGCAGGAGGGGGGGGAGGAGGAGCCGAGGGGGACGACAAGGGTCCGATTTCTTCCCCTCCTGCCTCTCCGCGTGTGGTGGTGCTTAGGCTGAAGCTAGGGGCCAGGAACCTGGCTCTTAGGTTTAAATACGGTTTTATTCCCACTTCAGGTCCTCCTAAGAAGCATGGCCAGACAGAGGAAGATGAGGAGGGGAAAGGAGGGAAGGAGGATAAGGGGATTGTGGCGTGACAGGCTTGTGTGGTAAAGAGTGCTAGGCCGATGAGTGGTGGAGTGGGAACTAGTGGGAATGGTGGGAGTGGGTAGAAAGTGGTGGATAGCTGTGGGGATGAATAAAGAGCAAAGTGACTGCTGTTCACAGTATCGCCCACCACAGGCACCAGGGCTTCAGATTCGTTTTGGGCCACCCTTAGTAATCAGGGTTCTAGGTATAGTCAACCCTGATGCGTAGGGTATTTTTTTTTGTTTCCCTGACAAATGCAGGGTAAAAAAACAGTTAGTCTGTTTGGGCAGGGTATTCTTGAAAACTTGTGATTACTATAAGTCCCGAAGCACTCAAGATCAATGGCTAGTAGTTTAGCTGGTCAATCGCGCATTACCTAGATCTGTAAAGTTGCAAGTTCATATCTCGCTAGAGGTATCGTTTTGCAGGGACCTGTATAGTGTTTCGTCTCGCTACGGAGCACTTAGTACCAGTATAGCTTGGATTGAACACTGTACAGTCAGAGTAGTGTGTTCCTTATGCTGTTTTTCAAAGGGTATTGAAAAACTTACACTTTCTGGCCTAGGGTAAAAAATCCACTACCCTGCCTGTGAAAGGGTAACTGAAAAAAAGCGGCCGCCAGTCAGTGCAAAAAGGGTATTTTACCCTGATAACGAGAGGCCTGACAGGCACTGGCACAGGGAATGTGGAGGGTGCACAGGGTCTGGCACCTCACCAGAGGGGAGGTTGGGGTTGTGGGAAGGTTGATTCAAAAGTAAGTGAGCCAAGAAATAGGCTTTAGTGGGACTACAAATAAAGGTACCGGTATTGTGTTTGCAGGGTTGTGAATTGTCCCCCTTTTTTCCTCACCATATTTCTTTTCCTTTTTCTGAGGGCAGGTTCATCTCTGCTTGTCAAACGCCAGCGGGTACAGGCGCTGGTGTTTAGATGAAACGCTCTTACTTAGCTCAGCACAAACCCCTGCCCGCAGCAGCGGTTGGGACAGGATGGGATGGGATGGGTGATCTGAGTACCGTACTATGGGAATCATTGTACGGTATGTGGTACTAGTACTGTACTAAAAACAGTGGCTACTTGTGACACAAGCGACTACATACTGCTCATTGTTCTCTGTAGCCTCTCGATGGTTCTGTGTTCCATATCTAGCTTGACATGACGAGTGTACAAACAGAACCAAATCAAATCAGGAGCAAATGGCAGCACAATTCGGCAAGCAAGCCAGAAAACTGTCTCCTAATACCAGTCACCGTTTCTCACATTCAAAAAATCTTTGGCCACAATATATTATACACCCGGGCCAATGCTAGCTTCTCAAAACGAGGGGAATTTTGAGTCGACTCCATTGTTGTGTGCTACGGCACCAGAAGAAAAACGAAAAGTGCCGTCACAAGGACGATGAGAGTGTGGAGTGTCCACATGGAACGACCGAGGTGGCCTGTTGGGGGGAGAGAGAGCGAGTTGGAGGAGCAAATGAGCAGGTGAGCGAGCGTGTGCACACGTGTGTGCTTTGTGTATGTGCATGTTGTGTGTGTGTGTGTGTCCGTGTGTATGTGTGTGTGTGTGTGTGTGCGTGTGTGTGTGTGTGAAGGGGGGGGGGGTGCCAATCACCCCACTGAGGACTAAGTGTGACAGCAAAAAAGGCAAGCCTTCTCACACCTCACCACACCTTCTCACACTTCCCCAAACCGTCTCACAACAACCACCACCACGCATCTGCCTTGCCCCTGGCTCGTTTTGAGTCGACTCAAATCAAACCGTCTCACTACCACCACCACGCACCTGCCTTGGCCCCCGGCACCAGCCGAAGCAGTCGCCTTGTTCTGAAGCGCCACAGGCGGATCACTGGCCCCGTTGCCCTTGTCCGAATCCACAGCCGGCAAACTGCCGTTGCCGCCAAATAGAGGTGTGACAGGCTGTGGTGTGGGCGTCGCACCGCACGCCCTCACAACGACTCACACGATCACACCCCCTCACACCCCCTCACAACCCCTCACACCCCCTCATACCCCCTCACACCCCCTCACATCAACCACGCACCTGCTTTCCCCCCGGCACCAGCCGGAGCAGTCGCATTGTTCTGAAGCGCCACCGGCAGATCACTGGAAATCACCCCGTTGCCCTTGTCCGAATCCACAGCCGGCACGCTGCCGTTGCCGCTGCCGCCAAAGGGAGGTGTGACTGGCTGTGGTGAGGGAGGTGCTGCAGCGGGTGCGGGTGGTGCTTGGGGAGGCGGAGCTGGGATGGACGTGAAGTATTCACCCGCCGAGCCTGATGGGGTAAGGGGATGTGGAGGTGGGGGGGGAGAGAGTAAAAAGGGTGCTATTGAGGCACCTAAGAAGACACGCGGTGTGGGGGGAGGTGAGGCTGGGGAAGGTGGAGCTGGGATGGACGTGAAATATTCACCCGCCGAGCCTGACGGGTGGAGGGGAGGGAAGAGATTGAGGGAGGGTGGTTGTGTCACTTCTGTGGATTCTCAAAAGGTGGACGGAGTGATAAGTGGGGGTGCAGCAAAAGGAGTGGGGGGGACAGGAACAGATGGATGTGCATAGGGAGAGTGGCAGGAGAGAGTGAGGGGAAGCGGGAAGGGACCCTTTTCCTCCTTTTTTCTATTTTTAAACCCTTTTTTCTCCTTTTTTCTCCCCTTTTCTCCTTTTTTCTCCCCTTTTCTCCTTCTTTCTCCCCTTTTCTCCTTCGTTCTCCCCTTTTCTCCCCTATTCTCCTTCTTTCTCCCCTTTTCTCCCCTTTTCTCCTTCTTTCTCCCTTCTTCTTACAGTTGAGGGGTCGGAAGGCAAGCTTTTTCTTGGCGAGGTCAAAGCGCAGATAGAGGTCCCGCAGCCACAGGGCTGAGAGGGGCCAGGCAGGCAGGGGGGATGGGAGGAGAAGGGCAAGATGGGGGGATGACTTTTGAGTCGACCTAAAATTCTTCTTGGCGAGGTCAAAGCGCGGATAGAGGTCCCGCAGCCACAGGGCTGAGAGGGCGGGGCAGGCAGGGGGGGTTGGTGGGGAGAGAGGAAGAGGGGGAGGAGAGAGGAACGGGGAAAAGGGTGGGGGTCACGATAGAAAGGAAAGGGGCTGACTAGGCAGAGGTCAAAGGGCAGGTAGAGGTCAAAGGGCAGGTAGAGGTCAAAGGGCAGGTAGAGGTCAAAGGGCAGGTAGAGGTCAAAGGGCAGGTAGAGGTCAAAGGGCAGGTAGAGGTCAAAGGGCAGGTAGAGGTCAAAGGGCAGGTAGAGGTCAAAGGGCAGGTAGAGGTCAAAGGGCAGGTAGAGGTCAAAGGGCAGGTAGAGGTCAAAGGGCAGGTAGAGGTCAAAGGGCAGGTAGAGGTCAAAGGGCAGGTAGAGGTCAAAGGGCAGGTAGAGGTCAAAGGGCAGGTAGAGGTCAAAGGGCAGGTAGAGGTCAAAGGGCAGGTAGAGGTCAAAGGGCAGGTAGAGGTCAAAGGGCAGGTAGAGGTCAAAGGGCAGGTAGAGGTCAAAGGGCAGGTAGAGGTCAAAGGGCAGGTAGAGGTCAAAGGGCAGGTAGAGGTCAAAGGGCAGGTAGAGGTCAAAGGGCAGGTAGAGGTCAAAGGGCAGGTAGAGGTCATGCATCCGCAGGGCTGAGAGGGGCCGGGGGGGATGGGCGAGATGGGGAGAAGGGGAAGAAGGGGGGAGCGGGAAAGGGAAGGGGAGAGATGAACGAAGGAGATAGGAGTGAGGCAAGCTGTTTCGAGGCACATTTTGAGAATTTCTCAAAAGCCGCACCAGAGACATGGGTATGCAATGCACACTGGCGCTCAAGGTATGAGGCTTGAGATGGGTTTGAACTCCCCACCCCACCCCACGTGATTGAAGAAGTGTTTTGAGACGTCTCAAAACAGAGAAGCAAGCTATTTCGAGGCACATGGGTATGCACACTGGCGCTCAAGGTATGAGGTTTGAGGTGGCTTTAAACTTCTTATCCCACCCCACCCTACCCACCCACCCACTTGCCCTCCCACCCTCCGCTCCCACTTACCCCCAATGAACCCGTGGGAGAGGTCATCGCCCACCACAATGGCCGACAGACGAGGTTTGAGGCGACTTAAGACTCTCGCCCCACCCACCCACCAACCCTCCCTCCCCACCCAACCACCATCCCCCACTTACCCCCAATGAATCCGTTGGAGAGGTCATCGTCCACCACAATGGCCGACAGACACAGGATCATGCCAGTGCTGTCCTCGCCCTGCCCAATCAAGGCGTGGTGTTCAGCATTAGATTGGGGCATAACGGGGAGGGTGATGAGGGGGAAAGGGTGGAAAGGAAAGGGTGATGGAGGGAAGGGGGCGGTGCAAGGGAATGGACTGCCGATGGGAGGTTGGGTTGGAATGCATCAATCGTTCTTACGAGACTCGACGCACACACAACCGTATCGTGCACACATGAATGGGGCGCATGCAAACGAATGCAAGAACAGGCGAGAGGAGGAGAAGAACAAGCGAGCGAACACAAGCAGGAGGGCTCACATATTTGATGAGGTAGTTGTTGGGTGTGATCTCCAGCGAGCCCAAGTGAGAGAACAGGCGAGTGAGCCCTCCTTGACATGTGATGAGTCTATTTGTAAGTCGACTCAACCATAGACTCATCGAGCGAGCGAGCGCAAGCAGGAGGGCTCACATATTCTATGAGGTAGCTGTTGGGTGTGATCTCGAGAGAGCCCAAGTGAGAGAAGAACAGGCGAGCGAGCCCTCCTTGACAAGTGATGAGTCTATCTGGAAGTCGACTCAAACATAGACTCATCAAGCGAGCGAGCAAGCGCAGGCAGCAGGAGGGCTCACATATTCGATGAGGTAGTTGTTGGGTGTGATCTCGAGAGAGCCCAAGTGAGAGAAGAACAGGCGAGCGAGCCCTCCTTGACATGTGATGAGTCTATTTGGAAGTCGACTCAAACATAGACTCACTCATCAAGCGAGCGAGCGAGCGCAAGCAGGAGGGCTCACATATTTAATGAGGTAGTTGTTGGGTGTGATCTCCAGCGTGCCCTCCTTCACGTCCAGGAATATGGAGGGGAACACCATGTCCTGCGCCTCACTGCAACAGGGGAGTGAGAGTGATAGCGGTTATTCTTTCGAGTCGTGGTTAGTCGAAAGGACATGGATTTTAGTCGACTCAAAGGTCAGGAATTTGGAGGGGAACACCATGTCCTGCGCCTCACTGCGGCAGCCAACGGGGTGGGAAATTGGGAATGGTTGTATTGAGGTGAGCTTTAAGGCGCCTCAACACTCTCCAGCGTGCCCTCCTTGACATCCAGGAATATGGAGGGGAACACCATGGCTTGCGCCTCACTGCAATGGCAGGGGAGTGATCACGATTGTGGTAGTCCTTCACAATCATTCCCTAAGTATCAGTATTCATTTTATAGTGCATTCTTAATCACTTTGTTGCTTATGTAAGTAGAGTCAATCGTCACAAATTTGGAGTGTCCCATGCCGGAGTGCAGTACCAGGGTGGGAATGTTCCTAGTTCTGGAAAGTGTTGAAGGCGAGGTGGGGGCAGCAAGGGTTATGGTTATGCTGGTGGCACGGAGATGGCATGAAATGGGACAAGATGACACGAGACGGCAGGAGATGACACGAGACGGCAGGAGATGACACGAGACGGCAGGAGATGACACGAGACGGCAGGAGAGGGGCTCACAAGACGGTGAGGTGCACGCATGAATAGACATCCATGTCGGCCCGGCGCAGAGAGGAGTTGGCAAACACCTGCCAGGGGGGGAGAGAGGTGGTGAAGGGTCAAGGATTGGATGGGTGGAGAGGATGGGGTAAGGTGAGGGGAGCAACGGGGGAGTCAGACGAGATCAGCGTGCACAGCAGTTTGATCTCAAAAGGCGGCTGCTCTCAAAAGGTGAAAGCAGCGGCGGAGATTACAAGTTTGACAAGGTCAGCGTGCACGGGAGCACGCACGCAGGCCCGAGGAGAGGCAGCTAGCCACGACAGCCAGCCAGCCCAGAAGCTCACCAGTTTGACCAGGTCCGCGAGCAAGGCGGATCGCAGGCCCGAGGAGAGGTAGCTGCTCTGCTCTTGCCAGTTCTTGAGAGTCAGGTCAAAAGAGGGGAGGAGGAGGTGGAAAATCTCACCAGTTTGACCAGGTCAGCGTGCACAGCGGACCGCAGGCCCGAGGAGAGGTAGCTGCTCTTGACGGTGAACCCGCCTGTGAGGTCCGCGTTCAGCTTCGCCACTGCTGCACTACCCTTCACTGCTGTCTGCCCCACTCGGATCTGTGTGAGAGGCAGGAAGTAGCGCGTGCTGTGGGCGCGATGGGTGGAGGGGGGGAGGGGGAGAGGCGGAAAGGGAAGATGAAGGGGAAGTGGCTTTGAAGTCGCGACTCGAAGCTTTTCATTCGACTAGAAAGCCATGCAAATCCGTTTCAGTGGAAGGGAGTAGAGTGTGCTGTGGGCGAGAAGGGGCGATTTGCATCAGCAGCAAGAAATAACGGGATCGCTGTGGGTCACACACAAGTCAAGTCACAACCCGGCACACGCACTCAATGCCACGCCACTCACTCATTGTCAAACCCCAAATAGTCCGTGGTGGTAACATTGGGCAGTGGATGGGGAACAAGGCAGAGCCGGGTTGCACAGTGCAAAGTGCATGGTGCATGGTGCATGGTGCAAGGTGCATGGTGCATGGTGCATGGTGCAAGGTGCATGGTGCAAGGTGCATGGTGCATGGTGCAAGGTGCATGGTGCAAGGTGCATGGTGCATGGTGCTTGGTGCATGGTGCATGGTGCTTGGTGCATGGTGCATGGTGCATGGTGCTTGGTGCATGGTGCATGGTGCATGGTGCATGGTGCATGGTGCTTGGTGCATGGTGCATGGTGCATGGTGCTTGGTGCATGGTGCATGGTGCTTGGTGCATGGTGCAACCCGACTCGGTGCACAGCGCATGTTCAAAGCATACAACTCACTCGTTGTCAAACCCCACATAGTCCGTGGTGGTAACTGTGGGTGGCACCAGCAGCGCGCCCAGCCACAGTCACAAGCCGGCACGCGCACTCAATGCCACGCCACTCACTCGTTGTCGAACCCCACGTAGTCCGTGGTGGTGACATTGGGCGGCACCAGCGGCGCGCCCAGCGACAGGAACCCTGAGTTGCTCGTGGAGTCGAAGCACAGCGCAAACGCGGGCGGCACCACCGCTGCCGCCGCCAGCTGGTTGAGAACGGAGTAGCTCCTGGCGCCCAGGCCCAGCACCCCGTCCACTGCCACTGGGTCGTCTAAGTCTTCCAGAGGTCGCACCCTGGCGCAGCTGGTGGGGTGGAAGGTAGGGGGTTGTAAGGGAGGGGCAGCGGAGAGAGAGGACGGACTGGCTGAGCACAGACAGAGTAGCTCCTGGCGCTGAGGCCCAGCACCCCGTCCACTGCCACCGGGTCGTCTAGATCCTCCAATGGACGCACTCTCGCGCAGCTGGTGGGGTGGAAGAGGGGGAGGGGAAGGAAAAAGAGGGGGTGGGAGGAGCAGGGGAGAGGGAGGGTGGATGAGCACGGAGTAGTTTCTGGCGCAAGGTGACGCGATGGGGATGGGTGCGCGGAAGGGGGAGGGGGGAGGGGGAAAGGGGGAAGGGGGAAGGGGGAAGAAAGGCGCACACACCACTACCCACTAACCACAACCCGCCAACACACGACAACACGCACCCAAACACGACAGACGCCGTCGCGCCGGTGCTGCTCCCATCAGCGGCAGCGAGTGCAATGCGGTCGAAAACGAGCGTGCCGTTAGTGGCGAGGGAGTACTCGCACACCCTCCTCCTCCTCCTTCTTTCCTCCCGCCCTCCCCCCTCGTCCTCTTAACCAACTGGTCACACCCACACATCGGCGCATGCAAGCGCGCGCACACACACACACACGGACATGCCCACCAACCACCAGCTCACAGTCACCACCACTGCACACCAACCACCACCAACACGCACACATCCCAGCACATACCCAAACATCACAGACGCAGCCGCGCTCGTGCTGCTCCCATCAGCGGCAGCAAGAGCAATGCGATCGGAAACAAGAGTGCCGTTAGTGGCGAGGGAGTATTCGCACACGCCCTTCCTGCCGCCCTCCCCCTCCGCCAGCTGGTCGCACCCAAACACCGGCGCCTGCTTGCACGCCGCGTCCTTGCACCCCACTGGCTTGGCTGTGGTGGATGCTGCTGTTGAGAACTCCGTGAGCGACTGATGGGGGAGAGGAGGGGAGGGGAGGGGAGGGGAGGGGAGGGGGGGGAGGTGGGGGATGGGGAAAAGAGGCGGGGCTTTTGAGTGGATTTGGGAGTCGCCTTGCACCCCACCGGCTTGCCTGTGGTGGATGCTGCTGTTGAGAACTCCGTGAGCGACTGATGGGGGAGAGATGGTGGGAGGTAGGTATGGGGGGACAGATGTGGTGAAGGGGGGATAGATGTGGTGAAGGGAGCGGACTCACGCACGCACGAGCGACGCGACGACGGATGAAACGAGGGCAGGCGGCGGAGGAGGAGGAGACGAACGAGGCCGGGGGGAGGGACGGGGAAAGGAGTGGGGGCGGGTTGGCCAAGTGGGAAAAAGGATTGGAGACGCGGGAACAAAGAAGCGGGAACGGAAAGCACGGAAGGGAGGGAGAGAAAGAGCGGGGGAGGAAGGGAGGGAGAGAGGGAGGGAGGGAGGGAGGCAGGGAGGGAGCAAGGCAACGCACGGTGACGATGGTGGAGGAGGAGGGGCACTGCAGGCAGTCGCAGGAGACCCACGACAGGCTCGTGCTCGTGTCCACGTTCACCGCGAACGACCGCGCAGGCGTGCCCAGCGATATCACCGTGTACATGCGCCTGCGAAGGGGGGGGGGGGGGGGGGAAGGGGCACGGAGAATGGGGGGGGAGTTTTGAGTTGGCTCAAAGAACGACCGCGCGGGCGTGCCCAGCGATATCACCGTGTACATGCGCCTGCGGGGGTGGGGCGGAGGAATGGGTGGAGGGGAGTTTTGAGTCGGCTCAAAGAACGAGCGTACGGGCGTGCCCAGCGTTATCACCGTGAACATGCGCCAGACGGGGAGGTGGGGAAGGGGGGCGGGGGAGTGGGGCGGCGGAATGGCGGACGGGGAGCAGGAGAAGTGCCGGGGGGGAGAAAGGCCGGGGACTGGTAGCATCAAGCGTGGGAGATGATGGGATAAGCTCAGTGGCATCAAGCGTGCGGATAAGTATAAGGAATCTAGTAGCATCAGGTGTGCGCGCGTGGTGCGTGTGTGGTGCGCGCGCGCGGCGCGGCATACCCGAAGTTGTTGAAAGGCGACGAGATGTTAAACAGCGCGTTCGCGCCGTCCGCCGCCTTGCCCGCTAACATGCGCCCTCGCCTACGCTGCGCGCGGATGGATGAGCGCGGAACCGGGGGAGGCGGGAACGGGGGAAGAGTGGGAAGGAGAGGGGGAAACGTCAGGACTGGGGAAAGCGATCCGCGGAGAATTCAACAGGGTGCGAAGTCCAGCAAGGGGGGGAGAGATCCGCGGAGGAGGAGCCAGATGGGGGCTGCGAAAGCTGTTTGCGCGGGGAATGATCGCGAGCGTAGGCGGAACCTGATAAGAGTTGGCGGAACAATGAAAGGGGCGCGGGAACTATTCCCCTAAGCCGCGATTCTGCGGACGGCACCACTGCCGTGCACCGTTGACCTTATTTCCCTTACCCCCTCCCCAATTCTCTTCCATTCCTTGCCTCGCGACGTCTCCTCTCGGCGCCTCCTCCCAACCTATCCTCTCGACATCTCCTCTCGACCTTTCCTGTCAGCGTCTCCTCGCTCACCCCGGGCCGCACGCGAGTCTTACCGAGAGAGGCGCAGAAGCGGATCTGGCGGCGTCGAGAGAGAGGAAGACGCGCGACGTGAAGTGCGCGCCTCCGAGGGTAGTAGCGCCGATCGCGCTGCTGCCGTCCTGCGCGCATTGAGACACGTGTCACGTATTTCATTCAATGGGGACAAGGGAGCACGGATGTGCGGGTGGAATAGCATGATGGCATGCGGGAGTCGCGTCAAGAGATACGACACTCTTTAAAGGGAGAGATTGCGCACGCAGGCTCGACGCATTCATGTAAATGCATTTACGCCATTCGTGTCGCGCGCATACGACGAGTACCGTTCATTCGCGTCCGTGCGCACAGTGCGGACACACAAGCAAGATGCGCCCTGGGACAGTCACGGTTCCTCAGCCTACCACCTAACCATGGAGAACAACTGAAAGCGCCTGATGGCACCTGGGAGCGTTTGTGCACCTGTGAATAGTGAGCTGTCGCTGCGGAGAGGAGAAGCAGGGAAACCAGCGGCACGAGCCAGTAGTATCTTGATAACAACCACGGACTCGGCCTGCCTAAGCTGCCGCCGCTGGTGCTGGTAGATCTTCTACATCTTCTGCTGCCGCCGCCGCTATTGCTGCTGCTGCTGCTGGTGCTGTCGCTGGTGATGGTGCTGATTGATTCAGTTTCTGCTTCATCCCGCGCTTTTACTCTAGACTTCATTCTGATTAAAACCCGAGGTCCACAGGTTTCGAAGGTAGGAAGGTTGGTTGGACCTGGTGACTCAACCAAAGGTAGGAAGGATGAAGGAAAAGAGGGGAACTTGAGACTCCGGTAGTAATCCACGCGTCTGGAAATACGGTCCTCGGAGTTGTTTGTCGTTGTGAGTGCCCAGATGCAAGCACTTGAGCCAAACAAGAAGCTTTAATATGCTTGCGAAGAAAGCTCCTATTGCGAGGTATCGGCTTAATCTTCTCGTCAACTATCTGGTAAGGCGACACAGCAACGAATTACTGAACGCGACAGCCGGCAAGGACTGGAAGCTGTAGGCACAACCGCCAAGTACCATCTCGAGTCACTGGGTCGCAGAGGCAGAGAGATTACTGTATCCGCGAACCATGTGAATTGTTCCCGCCATGGATGTACAGTTCACCTATGTATCACAGGCACGGCCATGTTCCGTTGCGCAAAAATTTCTGTGTGCTTGCAACTGTGCTGACTTTCTTGGAGAACCGGATGATTCGAACCCACCTGCAGAACGACACTACCCAAAGACACACGGGCAGTTAAACGGATTTGTCAAATTCCAGGATTCTAGGGAAGTTTCCTGTCATTGGTTAATAAAGCAAGTTAAGACGATATTGTGTCATTTTGTTAGGGATCTACACTATATTTTGTTTATTTTTTTACTACCACCCCAACCCAGCAAAGAGCTCCTGTGAGTTCCTGTCGGTCGGTGGTTCTCTCCTGACCTGACTTTCAAATTTTCGTGCTGATGCAGAACCCACCGCATGTCACTCAGGGTGGCCGTCGACAGAGCCAGGTGCTGTCAGAGTGCGGCGCGGTGCAAGGATGCCCGAAGCGGTGCTGCGTTTGCGTTTAGGGAAAGAAAGACCGCCACACCTGACGCAAATGGATTTAGCAGGGCTACTACACTTTTCAATAAAGGAAAACAATCCTGTCCAAATCTGCAAAACATTTAGTGGAGGTGCAGCCTCATTTATCTCTACCCGCACAGCCAAGTTCTTGAGCGTTTCCATCGATGCATTGATCCGTGGTTCCAGTAATGCACTGTATACGCCGCAAGCAAGATTCGTTAATCGAGGTCGTACAGTTCCAATCAGCTTCAGAACATCAGATTCAACTAAGCACTTCTAGTACCGTAACAAACTAGACAGTGGTGTTGGTTATGCGGTGACTGTAGAGAAGTAGGTGACCTCCCTGCCATGGAGTGGCTCTGGCAGACGGTTGTTGGTGCGCTCCTTGTTCATCGTTCCCATCAGATTCATGAAAATGGCAGCCAGCGAGGTGAACGAACAAAAGGGTCCATAGTTTCAAACAAAGGGCACATAAAACACAGTGAGAGCGGGAGAAGGGAGGCACGGAGAAACATAAGGGTGGAAAAGCATTAAGGTCCAAACAGGGGGAGGGGGGACAGGTACCGGCCAGGCAACGGGTCGCCAAACAGGTGGTGAAGTCACAGGACACACACCTGGTCCACAGAGAGGAACTTGGCCTTACGCAGCACATGCCACTCAACAATCTCATTGCAGCCTGGAGTAGTAAGCGAGCCGGGATACCTCCAAAACCCAATGGACAGATCCATCATCTCCCTCCAAAAACTCCCAGTAACATCAATCCCAGCCATTGCGTCCAGCCCAGAGGGGGTCTTAGGCAGCCATGAATCCACCCACGGGCTCGCCTGGTCATCCCGCTGGAGTCTCAGCATTACGCCGACAGCGAGCTGGGAGGCGTTGTCGATGTGTGCATGCACGAAGTGGGCTTCCATGGGAGCAAAGAGCCCGTTGATTGCGTGCTCTGAGAACGAATGCACGTGCACCTGCTTCAGCTCGTAGGTCCCGCTGGCTGTGTGCAGCCTGTAGGTGTTGGATGAATTCGGAACCACCTCTGGGGGACAGAGAGAGGGGATGGGGAAAGGGGATGTCAGGTGGAGAGGCAGAAGGTCGAGGAGGAGAATGGCGAGGAGCCGAGATACGGAAAAGAAGGACGGAATGAGCCATAGAGGCACAATAGGGAATAGACGCAAAATGTGACATGTCATTCACGGACGGTGTGACCCTTGTTGACGACTGTAGCTGTGGTGGCTGACGTGTCAGCTGTGGTGGCTGACGTGTCATAGTCCAGGTGCAACTTCTCTGCATCCGTCACGGTCCGTGCCTCGTCCATCACTACGTTGATGGGCGACTGTCTCTCACCCGACGCACAGACGCCCTGGAAAGGGGGGAGGGAAGAGGCGTGGTGAGAAAGATGGGGTGAAATCGGTTTTTTAAAGTGTATTGTGTAGAAGATGAACCGATATACGCTTTGCTGATGTCTTAGCGCACATCTTCCATGAGACCTTGAGCCGTGTTCACTAGACGTTCCTACCTCCTGGACTCATGACTGGGAGAATCGCCTCACGGCGTGGCCGCACTCCTTACACACAGCAGCACGGAGTGAAACAAACGAGCAGAAACCAATCCCTCGCTACTGTCAGCCGTGCCTATATTTCCACAGGGACTCGCATTCTAAGTTCCCGGAGCGCCTACCTCCCAGTCGAGGCCGCTCTTGGCGTAGTTCACTCCGACAGCGACAGGAGCAGAAGCGAGGAGAGCAACCGTAGCAGCCAGCACCAGCACAGGCAGCAGATGGGACGCCACGAAGAGACGAGCCATCGCGTGCGTGAAGAAACCAGGAGATGGAAAGGAGAGAGTAAGGCTGTCGTCGCTGGTGGGTGTACGGGCTGCAGGGTTGAAGCTAAGTTACACTGCACACTTGCTGCGAAGGTTTGAGATGTGGGTTGAGTTCAGCCCGCATTTATAATAAATAGTCATCGAGGCGACCCTGCGAAAACAGAGCGCAACGCGCAGCGCATCGGACGGTCGGGCTGGTCCGTTCTCCCACTTCGGATAAGATCCCTGGATGGCATTTTGCCCGAATCGCGGAGTGCCTTATCGATGCGGGAAGAGCAGGTGTGAAGTGACGTCTGATCCTGGCGGCTTTTCTGAACTACGGGAGCCATTTTGCTTCGCAGCGTGAGCTTGGCTTGGATTGGCTGAAAGATGCGGACCTGGATAGCGGACGCCGAAGCGCACTGCTTGCTGCTGAGAGTCGCAAATGGGCGGCGATGTGACAGGACAGACGGATAGTGAACGGCCATGTGTTCATCAGTGCAGCTGGCTCCTCTAGGAGGTGTGTACCTCGGAAAATGGACATGGTTTGGTTGGAAAATAGGGAGCTGAGGGTGGGTGAGATTGGGTTATCTGGGTGTGACGGGAGGTTGAGCGGTGCGATGATCCTGTTAGAGGATCAGTCGTCCACACTGGTTTATGTGCTGAACAATGTGTTTTTGTGGCTTCTGATATACTTGTGTTCAGTAATATCTGATATTCACCATGGAATACCGTATAACGAGACGGTCAACCGAGTCTGCTTGGCGTGGCGTGGCTACAGTTTCAACTTGATGCACCACATCCGCGCCGCAACCGCAATCCCCTCAACCTCCAGCCGCCCAACCCCTCAAAACCCCCTCACCTCAGCCTCGTGCGATTTCCATTCCACCTTTCCAATCTCTGGAATCTGGATCTTTGGACCAACCCGGCCAAGATACCTCAATCTCGACGTGCTCACGCGTTCGCCCGTTGCACGCAAGATTTGAGACGACTCAAAAATCGCTGCACCGGTGGTACAATTGTCGATCCTGATCTCTGGAAGCGGTGGAGGTCGCGCTCGACAACTTCTAGGTTGAAGGTACTTGGAGAAAGAGGCTTTTTTTAGCTGACGTGGCGACTGATCGAGCAAGCGGGCGACTTTTCGAGCGAGGAGACGACAGTTCCACCCATAGGCGACGGATCCGACGATTATAATCGACGTCGCACACCATGGATCCGCGACCGGTGGTGGTCGTCGTGGGCGCGGGAATGGCGGGCGTGACTGCCGCACGCACTCTGCAGGTGAGCTCGCGGATCGCGCGGCGCCACGTTAAATTTAACGCTCACCACAGAGATCGTGACGATGTCGGGATCTGCTGATGTGGCAAGGCATATGTAAGAAGCATGTGTGGGTACTCCCATCCCTCCCCCTCATTGCTGCTGTGGCAAGGCGGTTTTTTTTTTTTTTTTTTTTAATGCACGTGTGGGTACTCCCATCCCTCCCCCTCATTGCTGAATATCAATAGCTCCGATCACACCCCCTCCCCCCCCAACCTCTTCCTTCCCTCCCCTTCCGCTCAGCAATCCGGGTGCGTGCGAGTGGTGCTTCTGGAGGCGAGTGGCCGGCTGGGAGGCCGCATCCACTCCGCCACATTCGGGGGCGACCTGGTGGAGGTACTATCTGGGCGTATCGAGCGTGTGTGTGTGCGAAGGGGGGAAGGGGGGGGGAGGAGATGGGGTGTGGATTTGAGGCCTCGCAATAAATGTTTGTTAAGGCGCCTCAGAAACAGAATCCGCCACGTTCGGGGACGACCTGGTGGAGGTACTATCTGTCTGGGCGTATCTGGTCCTGCGTGTGTGGGAAGGGGAGAGGAAGGTGTGTGTGGGTGGGGGAGGGTAAGGGGGGGTGTCGAGCGTTCACGGAAGCTCCCTCTACAAGTTCTGAAAAAGCCTCAAAACTCCTCTCTTCCTTCACCGTCATTCTCCCCACCTCCTCCCCTCCCCCACCCCCTCGCCACCAGCTGGGCGCGAATTGGATCCATGGCATTCACGGCAGCCCTCTCTACGAGGTTTGAGGCGCCTCATAACTCCCCTCTTCCCCCCCCTTCCCTTCCTCTCTCCCCCCCCCTCGCCACCAGCTGGGCGCCAATTGGATCCACGGCATTCACGGCAGCCCACTCTACGCCATCGCACTGGAGCAAGGGCTCATGCACTCCCCTGGATCTGGTTGCGTGGAGGCGAATGGGAAGATACAGGGGGGTGCTGTGGGGGTGCCTGGGAAGGGGCAGGGGCAGGAGAGGCTTTGGAAGGGGGTGAATCGGTGGAGAAAGGAGGGCGGGGAGGAGATGGATGCAGGCGTGGTGAAGGAGGTGAAACGCGTGTTCAGGCGGCTTCTGAGGGAGGCGCAGCTAGTGGGGTCGCGGGTGGGGGAAGGGAAGCAGCAGCAGACGCGATTTGTGGACAAGACTGGAAGAGAGGTAAGGGGTCGGTCAGTCCGAGAGTCTGTTGTTCCAGGGATTGCATTGGTGAACCCAGCCAGAGTGCATTGGTGAACCCAGCCAGAGTGCATTGGTGAACCCAGCCAGAGTGCATTGGTGAACCCAGCCAGAGTGCATTGGTGAACCCAGAGTGCATTGGTGAACCCAGAGTGCATTGGTGAACCCAGAGTGCATTGGTGATGTGGTGTGGAGCAGGGTTAGTGAGTTGTGGACGCAACACGGGGTGGTGAGGGGGTGAGAGAGAGATTGCTCTTTCCCTGCTCCTTCCTCGCTCTTTCCATGCTCTCTTCATCCGTGCTCTACACATCTCTGCCAGGTGACAACCGATGAGAGTGTGGGGCAGTACATACACGAGGGCATGCTGCAATACCTGGCCACGCAAGGCTGGACCCACGCGGAAACCACCCCGGAGCATCAGCATGTGCAGAATGGCAGCATGAGCAATAACGGCGATAATGGCTGTGACAGTGACAGCGATGACGAGGATGACGACGAGGACAGGTGGGAGGATGATTGGACTGGAGCCACAGTGCTCTGCAATGCTGGCGACTCAGCTGTCGCCTTCCAAGACTCTGCCAGGTGTGTTGTAATGCAACTTGTAAGTGGACTCAATGCAACTGCTCAACTCTCCATCCCCTCAGCCCCCCCCACAACCTTTCCCCCCCACACCTCTCCCTCTCTCACCAAATCCCACCCCTCCAATTATCTCCCTCCCCCCTTCGCCTCTCTCTTCTCCCCCCTTCGCCTCTCCCTTCTCACCCCTTCGCACCATCTCCAACCCCCTGATCTTGCCAGTGCTAGTGCCGGTCCCTCCGTTGCTGCTACTGCGCCCACTCAAGCGTCTGAACCAGCATCATCACCACCAGCACCATCAGCAGCACCATTAGCAGCAGCAGCACCATCACCAGCTGCGAGCAGCAGCGAGCAGGCAGTGGAAGTGGAGTGGGCGTCAGAGGCAGTGAGCGTTGAGGGTGGTGGTGTGGCAGCAGCTGGCAGCAGCAGCAGCGAGCGGGCAGGTTTCGAGAATGTGGAGTGGGCATCAGAGGCAGTGAGGGCGAAAGCAGCGGCTTTTGAGGCGCCCCATAAGTCAGCAGCAGCAGCTGGGAGCAGCAGCAACGAGCGGGCAGGTGTCGAGAATGTGGAGTGGGAGTCAGAGGCAGTGAGGGCGAGGGCGGCGGTGTGGCAGCAGAGGGAGCGGCTGGAGTGCACCATCAGCGCCTGCCACTCCACGCACCACCTCTCCCTGCGCTACTTCGGTGAATACGAGGAGTTTGGCGGGCCGCACGTCACCATCGCCCAGGGGTATGTGCTTGATTGAAATCTCTGACATGTATCCTGCTGAGTAGAAGAATTCTGGAGAGGGGATTTCACCGTGTCCGATTCTTTTCAAGAGTTGCTGAATGTTTCTTGTAAGAGGGGTTTGGGGGGGCTCACGCGTGACTGTGTCCATTTTTGTAGGCGCCTTAAAAATAAGTACGTGTCGTTGCACCCTTGCAGATTCACTGGACCCCTCTTCCCTGGTGCTTGGTATGCCGCCCGCCCTCTCCCGAACACCGCCCCTTTCCCCCCAACACACCGCGACCCCCCTCCCTCCCCTCCCACCCCGCCTCTCCACCCCCCTCTACCCTTCCCCCCAGTTACTCCCGCATTGTGGAGCATCTAGCATCGAGCCTCCCTGCAGGCTCCATCCGGCTCAAATCTCCAGTCTCGCAGATTCACTGGTCCCCTCTTACCTTTTCCTTGGTAGGCGGAAGAGGAAGAACGGTTGAAGAAGCAGAGGCAGCAGCAGGAGGGAAGGAAGACGAATCATCATTGTCAGCAGGAGGAGCAGCAACACTGGAGCAGCAACAGGGGGGAGAGGAGGAGAAGAGAAAGCCAGTGTGTGTGGTGTTGGAGGGAGGAGAGAGGGTCTATGCAGACCATGTGATTGTAACGGTGACACTGGGCGTGCTTAAAGAGAGAGCTGCTGGGAAGGACGCTAATTCCCTGCCCAAACGAAACCTTTTCTGCCCGCCTCTGCCCGAAACGAAACTGGGGGCCATTCGCCGGCTCGGATTCGGAGTGGCTGACAAAGTGTTTCTGGAATTCCCACAGGTACGGATACCAAGAACATATATAGATGATGAAGGTAAGCCTTGTAAATCGTGATTTAAAGCCTCACCAGTACAACCGTCACGTTTCCTCTCCAGCCTTCTCTCTCTCCCCCCCTCTCACCTCCTCACTTTCTCCATTGGCTGCAACGACTTTTGAGTCCATGCCTCGGTTAAATCTGATAGTTTCTTTATTCCAACTTTCTCTTTCCCCGATCTCTGTGTACTAAGCTTTTCTCTCGCTATGCCTGTCACCCACCTCCCTCGCCCAGCCGGCAGTGTTCGGAGAGGACACAGCAGAGCTGGAGATAGTGTGGGACGTGCTGGCTCAACCCCTTGCGCCTCCAACACACTGGCCTGGCCCTTGGTGGGGCTCAGATGCTGCTCATGCTGATGCTGATGCGAATGCTGTTGGTGCTGCTGATGCATCGGCTCGCCTTCCTGCGTGGACGCGGAAGCTTTTCTCCTTCCACCCAGTCAACGCGCAGTCGCGAGTGGTGCTGGCGTGGATAGCCGGGAAAGAGGCATACGACATGGAGTCCTGGCATGGGGAAGAAAGGACAGAGGAGAGAGAGTGTGAGCTCGAGAACGGATCAAGCGTCTGTAATGGCAGCATGGCTGCCAAGGCTAGTATCGCGCAAGCTGATTCTGCTAGCGGCGCTGCTGCTGCTGCTGCTGCTGCTGCTGCTGCTGCTGCTGCTGCTGCTACTGCTGCTGCTACTGCTGCTGCTACTGCTGCTGCTACTGCTGCTGCTACTGCTGCTGCTACTGCTGCTGCTGCTGCTGCTGCTACTGCTACTGCTACTGCTACTGCTACTGCTGCTACTGCTGCTGCTGCTGCTACTGCTGCTGCTGCTGCTACTGCTGCTGCTGCTGCTACTGCTACTGCTACTGCTACTGCTACTGCTGCTGCTACTGCTACTGCTACTGCTACTGCTGCTGCTGGTGAGGCGAATGGTTTAGCCCAGTTGACAACCGTCACTACCACCACTGCCTCCCCCACTCCCCCTCACTTCAACCGCACGCTCTGCAACGTTATCCGGCATTTCCTTCCAAAAGAAACCGCCGCACGGCTCCCAGAGGCCGTGGCTGGGCTGCGCACGCAGTGGTGGTCGAACCCTCTGTTCCGAGGGTCGTACTCGTTTGTGCCTCCTGGGGGCTCTGGGGAGGACTTGAACATCATGGCTCTGCCTGTGCCTGGTGGAGCAGCAGCAGCAGCAGAAGGAGAAGCAGGAGCAGAAGCAGCAGTGAAGCTGCAGGTGCTGTTTGCAGGGGAGGCCACGGAAAGGCACCACTACTCCAACACGCATGGGGCGTACCTGTCAGGAATCAGGGAAGCAGGGAGGCTCATAGCTCTCTACGGCTCCCATGGCTAGTGGATGGGTTTTGAGGCGCCTCAAAAGCAGGCTCATGCTTAGTCCCCTTGACTTGCATTGCTTGTGAATGGGTTAAGCATTTCCAGTGCTAGCTACATCTGCGGTTGCTTTAAAGCCCTCTGATTGGAACAGGGACAGTGGACAGCAACTTTAGTGCGGTGCGGGAATGTGGTTCAGAAGGGAGAACATGCACTGTATGGAAGGCCGTCGTTGTGCGTTACCTGAGTTGATGCTTCGTTGTACCTTGGCTTTGAGGCCTAACATTTCAAATAAATGCTACACCACAACCCACCTCACGTACACCACCATTTAGTATGATGCCGTTAGCCTTGGCACTAGTACACTAAGATTTCACAAATTACCAATAAGGTACCAAAGTTTCATATTTGATTTCCTTCTCATGCATTTCGTCCACATACATATTTTTTAGCACGGTAGTGCGCTGCAATCCTCTCTAGATGTTTCAATAGCATACCTCACAATAGAGTAGTTTTTTCTTACATTTAAAGTGCGAGCTGCATTTGCTTACCATGTAGTTGATCTGTACTCTTTCGCATGTCATAGTTCTTGTACCATCACTGTTCGTGTCGAGTTTGTGGAAGCCACAATGGGGCACGAAGCTGGTTCAAATCTCGGCTCGCGTTTTGTTTCCTTCACACGCTCCCTGCCCAGCGTCATGCTGTTGCAGGAGCGTTGCGCCAATTTCTTCAGCTCTTCCCTTCGACCCAGTCATCCCCATTCCCGTCACTTGCTCGAGTCTTGAAACCTTCCCATAAGCAACGCGCAGAGCAGAACATACGAGACACAGCGTCGCTGCTTCAGATATTGGAGCCCTATCAGGACCTGTCCTAAATAAGTCAGTCTTATAGTTCATAATCCATGGCTCCCTCGTACTTCGACAACCTGTCGGACGACCTCCTCATATACATCTTCTGGCACTCCAAAAAAGAAGTCCCGATTCGTCGCCAAACCAAAACCCGCATGACTCATCCATCGTTTTCCATCTTGCCTCGACCGAGGTACTCCCCGGAAAGCCCCTACGGCGACGAGCACAGCGAACTAAATTCGGATCCGTCCTCCGTGCAGCAGAACGTCGTATATACTACTACGGCAACTACTGATTGTACTACGCCGTTGTCAGCTCCCACCGTTCTGACTGATCCAGTCTACCACCTTCTCATTGCTTCCGTTTGCAAGCGATGGCGTCGCCTGGCTCGCCGTCAGGTTTCAATGCTCGTCGTGAAGGAAAACATCGTCGTGTCGCTTCGAGATCTCACCGCTGCAATCAACTGCTTCCCGAACCTCTCTCATCTGCACCTCGGCGACAACAGCGCGGAGACAATTAACGACGCGTTTCTAGATTTCATCGCGTCGGCATGCCCGAAACTTGTGTCGCTGCACGTGGGGAGAGATATCGCGCCGAGGTGGGACTGGGAGCGCGAGGACGAGCATCCCGTGACCGAAGCCGGTCTGGATCGTTTCCTGCGTCGCTGCACTCAGCTGCAACACCTCTCGCTCTACTGTCTGCATCGAGACGGCAGGCTGCCGAATTCGCTTTCGCTCCTCACGAGTCTACGCACCCTCGCTCTCACCGAGGGATCGCCTCTCGAGGCTCCAGGATTCCCGGCATTGTCCTCTCTCACCGCCCTCTCCGTCGACATTCCAGAACCGGAAGATTTTAATCTCGCGGTCCTCGCGCATCTCCCGGCGTTCACCACGCTCGCGTTGTTTGACGAGACATGGCTGAAACTCGAAGGCACCGGTTCTCACCCCTTTCCATTCGACCAGCTGCCTTCTCTGAAAGCTGTGGAGTTCGACGCCAACAGTCCGCGATTCGAGTTGATGTTTCCGTCGGAAGCCTCGTGTAGCCGTCTCGAGCGGCTGCTTCTCAAAGACTGTGACGATTTGGACCGTCTCCCTGACGACATAGGAGAGCGGTTGCCACGCATTCGGCATCTGAGCATCCTCGGATGCAAGAATTTTTCCGAGCTACCCGAGCAGTTCGCTTCTCTAAGCTGCCTGCGTGAGCTGACGATTTCCTCGTGCAGCATGGTCAACCTGCCCGAAAACATTGGAGAGCTGCCCTTTTTAAAAGTGCTGACGCTGAACCTTCTGCCAATCTCGAGTCTTCCGGATTCATTCTATCAACTGACGTCTCTGGAAACCCTAATCCTGTCCCACTGCAACGCACTTTTCGAGCTGCCTGCTAGTTTCGGTTTCCTCACCGCACTCAACTCCCTCTCAATCCTCAACTCGCCGTACCTGAAGCTCCCAGACGACATAGGCTCACTCACCAACCTCCACACCTTCCGTCTGACAGAGAATTTCCCCCAGCAGCTGCTTCCATCCTCGTTCACACAGCTCTCCTCCCTCACAAGGCTTGATCTCATTCAATGTATGGTAGCAGAACTACCACAAGACTTGGGGAAGCTGAGTAACCTACGAGAGTTGACCGTCCAATCCTGCTCTAAGATTCAAGCCCTTCCAGATTCTCTCACTGACCTTGTCCACCTGAAGGTTCTGAAAGCCGTGGACTGTGACAGCCTTGCTTCAATCCCCACCACCTTGAGCAACCTTGCAAGGCTGACAGAACTCGCTTTAGCCAAGCTCCCCCAGGTACCCCAAGTATCAAAATCCTTGCCCTGCTCCCTCGAGATCCTCTCCATAGGAAGCTTCCAGCGGCTCACCCCTCTGCTGGAAATCCCTTCTCTGCCTAGGCTGAGAAAGCTGAGCTTGACTAGCGTTGGGCTCATGCGTGGGGTGGCAGCCGGCGTGACGCTCTCTTGTCTGGAGGAATTAGAGCTGAGGCTGGTAGTAGAGGCAGAGGAGCTCCCGTTGCCTCTGGAGCTGCTTGCTAACCTCCGCAGCTTGACTATCCACAGCATTGGACGCATGGAGAAGCTTCCGGAAGGGTTAGGATCGGCGTTGAGGCAGCTGAGGCGGCTGCAGATACACCAGGCTGCGGATTTAACGGATTTGACGGATACATTCACGGAGCTTCAATCCCTGACGTCTGTAGAGATCCATGCACCGAAAATTTCCTCTCTTCCGGACGGCATCGGGGCGTTGTCTCGGCTGCGGCAGCTGAATCTTGAAAACTGCTCATCGCTCACCGAGCTCCCTGCTTCTCTCACGCAACTTTCCTGCCTGCATGAGTTGAACCTCCGCTTCACGCCCATACGCTCCCTGCCGTACCAATTCGGACAGATAAGCCGGTTGAAGGAGCTTAGTCTGGATGGGTGTAAGCAGCTGTTTTCTCTGTCTGACGATTTCACCCAGCTCAAGATGCTTCAAAACTTGTCTTTTTCAGGGTGTGGCGACAACGAGATCGAAGCCCCAGGTGTTGCGAATATGTATGGGTTGCGCCTGGACCCTAGTCCTTTTTAGTGGGGTGTTCATGTAGAAATAGCTGGGTGCATCTCATGCTAAGCGTTGCTACTGGAACTCTGCTCATGCTGCTAACATTTGGATAATTTTTTTGAGGCATGCTTATGCCACACACGCAAGTCACCACAAAATTTCTCTGCACTGCACTGCACAAGTGGAAACTCTACGCCTCCACTACCTTACTTTTCCTGACAATCTTGCTACAACTCATCCACAACCACTCCCTCCTGCTCCCCCGCCCCCACACCCTCACCTTAGCCCTCAGTAGTGGCACGAGACAACGGAGGTGAGATGAGAACCAATCCAGCACCAAACTCTTCTTGTGCTTGTCCTCATCACACCACGCTGGAGTCTTAGATGAGTGACTAAACTAGGTATTCAAGTAACATCCATCTCAATTTAAGACACATAAAGGTAGCGGTGATTACTCTGCGCCTGCATCTCCCCACATGCAACTGCACGGGGAAAAAATCGAGGCCACGAAGTTCAATGTGGTACAGCACGGTTCTACGGAAAATCAAATGATATGTTGGCATGCAGCGAGGCGCCCTACCCTAGCCCACTGCCAGTCCCCTCCCTGATTCATCATCGCCCATTTCACAGCGGTGTGGTTTGCAACAACAAGAATACCGGTATCTTTAAGGATCCAGTTCAGAACGATTCAGAACGGTTCAGAAGGGGGCCCAGTGCGTGGGGAAGCGCGCAGTGTTCCAGCGCTTCTCATGCACGGCCCACAGCGGCCATTGCAGCTGCTGCAGAAGCGTCACCCTGAGCTCGTGCATCTTCCTGTCCGCCTGCTTCGGATCATCCTCCAACACCTTGTTGAGGATCTGATGTGAGTGATGAGGGGGTGAAGAGGGGAAAAGAGGCGGGAACGGGGTGGCGGTGAGGAATGCATGGGCAATGACAGGTGAGTAACCCTGAGCTCGTGCATCTTCCTGTCCGCCTGCTTTGGGTCATCCTCCAACACCTTGTTTAGGATCTAATGAGAGTGGAGAGAAGAGATGGGGGAGAGGGAAGTGAGGGCTCTGACCAGCAGCGCCACCCTGAGCTCGTGCATCTTCCTGTCTGCCTGCTTCGGATCATCCTCCAACACCTTGTTGAGGATCTGATAAGGAGCAGGGGAGGAAGCGAGGGAAAAGGAGGGTTCCATAGGCAGAGGCCATGCAAGCTGCCTTGAATTGCGAAGATGTGAGCAGGGAATGCACAGAGAGACTTCGCTCTTCATATGAGAAGGGAAGGAAGAAAAAAAACAGGTCTCCCCTCCCTTTCAAGCTTCCAAGCCTACAAGTGAAAACAATCCTCCTCACCCATGCCACCCCACCCTCCATTTCTCCCTCTTAAACCCACCATTCTCTTCCCCTTTCCCCACACTTTCACCCTCCCTGTCTTGCCATTCTCCTCTGCACACCTTGAGTGCGAGTGCAGGGCGGTTGGCTCGTCGCTCTCTCTCATGATGCCCGGAATGCCATACTTGGACTGAGACACATCCAAAATAACTTTTGAGAATTCTCACAAGTAATTGCCCCTGTCCGCAGCATACCTTGAGTGCGAGCGCAGGGCGGTTGGCGCGTCGTTCCCTCATGATGCCCAGCAAGCCGTACTTGGACTGAGACACGTCCGCCCACTTGCGCAGCTCTGCGTACGTCTCCTCAAATGCATCCCCACCATTACCACCGCCACCTCCACTTGAACCAACACCACCACTGGTAGATGCACCACTGTCACCTGCACCTGCTGCCCCTGCCCCTGCCCCTGCCCCCCCCCCTGCCTCTGCTTCTCCCCCTGCTGCTGCTCCTCTTAACGCCTCAACTGCTGCTGCCAAAGCACCAGTATCTGGTTCGCCGGCCCCTGCTTCCCCTGCTGCTGCAGCTGCTGCTGGGGTATCAGGTAAGGGGTCAAGAGCGGTTGGAGAAGTAACCGAAGGAGCATCAGCAGGCGATGGTGCTACTTCGGTGGTGGCGAGAGTGACAGATTCTGGTGCGGCAGCTGCTGGTGCCTCTGATGTTGGCTGTGGTAGTAGTGAGTATGGAGGTGGATGCAAGGGGGGAGACCGAGAAGGACATAAGATGTTACATAAAGAAGCAAGGTAGAGATGGGACACTAAGCATGAAAGGGGTTGTGTTTATGTGTTGAAGGAGGATAAGGAGGGGGGATGAACGAAAGGCGGAGGAGGGGTGGGGTGAGAAACAAACTACCGGTAGTAACATCAAGCGCGAAAGCAACGAGAGAAAAAAGGAGAAGCAACTAGTAAAAGAATGGAGTGCGAGTAAGGTAAATGCGGAGTGGCAGGTGGATGTACGCATGTGCGAAGCAAATGTGTACGCGGGGATATACCAACATGAAAGAGAAGGCAGGATGGCAGCATGACTCACAGCAGAGGGAGCAGCAGCAGGGAAGGGCGACTGCAGGTCACCGAGAGCAAGCGCCTTCTTGTGAAGTGCCTCTATCAGGGCGTCCCTCTGTGCATCCTTCTCCTTCTTCTCTGCCTGTTAATGGCCGCCGCACAACGCCACATGCCATGTGCGACCGGGGGATGGAGGGGAAGGAGAACGTGGTGAGATGGCAGGAGTGAAGAGGTGAGGGAGGGAGGAGAGAGGGGGGGGTCGGAAAGGCAAAGTTTCTGTCGCAGATGAAAAGGAGCTTAAGAGAAAGGGTTGAAAGAAGAGGTGGGGGAGAGAACAGGTGAGGCACGATGACATCACAGGGCGGGGTCAGAAGAGGAGGGAGAATTAGCCACCATCAACAGCAAAGACATGCTAGGGCAAGATCGGGATGATTTCACATGTACGGTACGACCCCCATCACAGCATCATCAATTATTGAGTTAACTCAAAACTCACACCCCCATAACAACCACATCGCACCCCCATCACAACCCCACCACACCCCCATCACACCACCATCACACCCCCACGAAATCCCCATCACACCCGCATCACATCCCCGTCACACCCCCATCACACCCCCATCCCACCCCCATCATGTGCTTGCAAGACCACACCCACACCACCTTTTGGACACCGCCTGCGTTCACACCTTCACACCCACCTGTGCGTTCTGTCCCTCTGGTTCACACTTCATGGCCAGGAAAACAGCCAGAGCTGTGCGGTCTATGCTGGCCACCACTGCATCTGCTGCCTCCACCACCTGACATGAGGGAAAGGGGAGTGGGGGAGGTGGGAGGAGGGAGGAGATGGAGGAGTGTTGGAGGGCTCGTTGAGAAGTTGGTGCGGTCAATGCTGGCCACCACTGCATCGGCTGCCTCCACCACCTGCCGTGGTCACAGGCGAGGGAGGGAGATGGGTGGAGGGAGTGTTGGGAGGAGGGAGAGGTGGATGAGTGTTGGGTAAATGCTATCCACCACTGCATCGGCTGCCTCCACCACCTGCCCTGGCCACAGGCGAGGGAGGGAGATGGGTGGAGGGAGGGAGGGAGGATTAGTACGAAGGGAGGGCAGTGAGGGGAGAGGCCATGCTAAGCACATGCGCATTCAGAGACATACGGGAGCACGTGAGAGGTGGCTGTCTGTCGATGCGGAAACAGGTGGGTAGAGTGGCGGGGAAGGGAAGAGAGTGGTCAATGCTGCATCTATTTTGGCATGGGTGGAGTGGCAGTAGGTGTGCAAACGTCTCTGAACCAGGGAGGAAGGGGCGCATCTTGCGTAGGGATGGACATACCTTGAGCAGAGAGGGGCATACCTTGAGCAGGGATGTGGGTCGCATCTTGGGATCGTCGTAGAAACGAAGCACTTCCAGCAGCAGAGGCAGGTGATTCGGATACTCCTCCTGGAGCCATAGCCACATGGGTGCACGCAGAGGCGAGCAGGAAGAAAAGATAGGAGGACAGGAGGTACAGGGGAAATTAGCCAGGGAAAGAAGGGAGAGGAAGATTTGGAGCAACAAAAATGGGAGAGAGAGGTTGGGAGAAGATGGCAGAGGATGGGAGCGCAATTAGCAGGAAGGAAAAGAGGAATCATGACCAGCTGGACGGAACAAATATGCAATAAGAAGCAAGGAATCCCAACCTCTGTTGTAGTGGATGCATGGTGTCCCTCGAAAGTGATTGTAGAAGCATAGCACACACACACACACACACACACATGAAAGGCTGGAATAACCCTAGAGAAACATTCACGGTTGCAAAACAAAATAGATAATAACAAACAACGCCCGCGAGAGCGAGAGAGGAAAAGACGGGCACAGTGAGATACGAAGAGACGAGTAGAAAAGCGAGGAAGCGAGGAAGGCCAAGGGGTGAAAGGACTTAGTAAAGGAAAAGGAAAGAGAACTTTCGAGAAGGATGGGAAGGGAACTTTCGAGTCGGCTCAAACGTCACACAAAGAAGTGGATAGAGCAAGCTGGAACACAAGAGTGAGAGAGAGGAACAATGAAGGACTGCTTGAGAGAAGAACAGAGAGTGAGAAGGAGAAGAGTGGTGTAAGGGGGACTGGAAGGAGGTGGAGGAGGATGGCAAGGAGGCGAGAGCAAGCTAGCACAAGAGAGAGGAGCAGAGAGTTAGTGAGAGCGAGAAAGATGGTCTAAGGGGGACCGGAAGGAGGTGGAGGAGGATGGCAAGGAGGCGCCTCAGGTGGTGCGAGCGTGCCTTGAGTTGCTGCGCCAGCGCCACAAACTCGCCCTCGCCCTTCGCCTTGTCCCGCTCCTCCGCTGCCACTGCTGCCAGCACCTTCACCTTGGCATCGCGCAGCTGTTGGGGGTAGGGGGTAAGGTTTCAGGGTTTAGGGATTGCAGTGCAAGAAATTTAAAATTTAGGGATTAAGTTTTGGAGTTGAAGAGAGTGGCAGGGAAGGGAAGATTAGAGGGGGATGAAGAGTGGAACTGAAACGCAAGCAGGGGGTTTGAAAGAGGAGCTAGAAAGTGGGCAGGCAGGAGGACGCCTTACCTCCTCTTGCATTCTCTCGGTGGCCGTTTTAGTGGGAGGAGCTGAACTGGAGGAAGCGGATGACTTCTTATCGTCACTCTGGTGGTGTTGGGGAGGGGGGAGAAGGGGGAAGACAGAACGCACAAGCTTCTTGGGGGAAGACGAAATTTGTTATTGTCATGGTGGTGAAAGGGGGGTTGGGGAGACGAAAAAAGTGCTGCTAGGGAATGCAGAGAGGGGTGATGGGGATGGTATGGTGTGCTGCAGACAGTAAAATGCAATGCAGTACAGTGCAGTGTGGTGCAGTGCAGTGCTGGTTAGGCATGAGCAAGGCTTGTCTGCTCAGAGCAGGTCGAGCTAGAAAGGCACTAGATTAGATTGTGACATGCCACATGACAACAGGATGAAAGAGCGGGATGCCGAACAAGATGCAGATAAAAACAGGCACCTCGTACCTCTTACACCCTGCACACCACTCACTCCTGTGCCCTGCGCACACCACTCACCTTGTTCGGGGGCGGCACCACGCAGGTGACATGCACGCGGCATGGTGCAGCAGCGTTGGTGTCCAGGTTCACAAACAGACCGCCAGTCTTGGGTCAACTCAAAAACAGCACTCACCTTGTTGGGAGGCGGCACCACGTAGGTGACATGCACGCGGCACGGTGCAGCAGCGTTGGACTCCGTGTTGACAAACAGGCCCCCGGTCTTTGCGAGAGTCATGCGGCCCAGTAGCAGCGTGCCAGGTGTCGCGTCCTGACGGGATGGCAGGTCAGTGCGGAAGAGAGATTGGGAGCAAAAGGCAGAGGGGAGAATTGTGGGTGAGGACTGACATGTGAAGGACGGGAATGAGAGGAAGGACAACAGAGGCAAAAGAAAATTGTGGTGTGGGGAAGATGCAGGCATGAAGATATGCCAAGACATGAAGGCATTGCGTGCATATCCCTCACAGTATCTGCACTAGGATTGGTGTGGTGGAGGGATTACTGTGAGGAGATGGGCACGGGAACGAGCGCAAAAGCGAAAGAGGGAGCGAGTGATGGAGCGAGAGACAGAGAGGGAGACTTGGGGCACCTTTGGTAGGTCACCAGGGCCTGAAATGAAGAACGCGCGCTTCTCACTGCACCCACACAGAAACACACACGATTTTGCAAGTGCACATGCGCGTACACACACACACAACACACACACACTCATACGTTCACACACACATATACGACCACACACTCATGCAGGAACGATAACGAGGAAGAACGGCATTTGAAAGGAGGAGAAGAGTGAATACGTGATCACATAACAATGGTTCAGGAATAAACACCTAAGGGTAAAGACAAGGAGAAGAACAGAACGCGTTTAACTCTGTGCTGGAAAAAAGGGGAGGAAGTAACATCAGAACAAAAAAATCCTGCCCTCCTTCCTCTCATTCAGAGACCCTCAGCACAACCGCATCCTTGACTCAAGGACAGCTCACTTGGGGGCTATGAGAGCGTTTTAGATCGTGTCTACTGAGGTGCTGCAAGCATTTGCTGCAAGCATTTGAGCTCATTTGAGGCGCCATTTGAGGCGCGCCACAACTCACTTGGGAGCCATGAGGGCGTTCTTGACCGTGTCGCTGCCTGCAAAGATGGCACTGTCCGCTGAGTTGTACACGCCCAGCTTCAACGCCGACTGAGAATGGAGGAGGGGAAGGGATCGGGAGTTGGGTTGGGTTGGGTTGGGAGCGATGAAACGGAATGTTTGGAGGGATTGCACTGCTCTGCTCAGCAAGAGGGGGCTCGGCACTGTGGGCTGAATGAATAGTAGTACACGCCCAGTTTCAGCAGTGAAATGAGTCGATTTTTTTTCCGACTAAAAAATAGTAAGTAGTACTCACCCATTTTCACCAGTGACTGTGGACTGACCAGAATTGACCAGACAGTGTAAGGGAGCTCAAAACGAGGGGTGTAGAGAATCGGATTCAGCTTTGATCTTCAAACATGAGCTGTCCAGCAGCAGCATCGCCTTAAGCTTCATTTGAGTTGACCGGAAATTCCCTCCTCTTCCCCTTCCCCCTTCCCTTCCCCTTTACCCTATCCCCCCTGAAAGCCTCCCCTCCCCTCCCCTCCCCTCCCCTCCCTCCCCTTCCCTCCTCTCCCTCCCCTCCCCTCCCCTCCCCTCCCCGCTCCCCCTCCCCCTCCCTCTCACCTTGTCCTCCAGTGCCCTATCCAGCAGCAGCGGCATGGTCTTGAGTTTTTCCAGCCGCCCCACCTTGTCGCCCCGGATCTGCAGCTTCACCGTGAACTCGCCCTTGCCCAGCTTCACGGGCTTGGGGTACGCGTCCTCGCACGCGAGCACGCGGCGGTGCGAGTCGAAGAGCTGGAAGAACTGCCCCTCTATCTCGCTGTCGTACAGCCGCTGGTTTAGCAGCGGGAGGCGAGGGGTGTAGCGCCCTGATTCCGAAATGGAGAACTTGTAGCTGGGGGGGGTTAGGGGGTGAAGGGAAGGGGAAACGGAATGGGGCGAGAGCGGAGGGAATTGGGAGGAAACGGAACGGACGGTGCAATATGAGGTGCCACAAAAAACGTTTGAGGCGCCTCAAAAGAGGAGAGGAAATGGGAAGGACGACGGCGCCATGAGGTGCGTCAAAATTCACTGCGAGGTGTGTGCTGTGTGCACGTACGTGATGTTGAGCGCCTGGATCTGCCGGCCATCCGGCAGCATGTCTCTGGGGGTGTGCTTTGAATCAACTCACGAGTCAAGTCAATTTACTGCCAACGTACGTGATGTTGAGCGCCTGGATCTGGCGACCATCCGGAAGCATGTCTCTGGTGGACGAGAGGGGCTCCACTTTCGCCTCTGATGGGCGATACGCCGACCTCACCTGACCCACCCACACACACACACACACACACACACACACGCACGCACGCACGCACGCGCACGCGCACGCACGCACGCACACGCACACGCACACACACACACACACACACACACACACACACACACACACACACACACACACACACACACCATTGCAAGAGGGGTGGGGGGTGGGGGTAGTGCAGCGGGACAACGGGGAGAGGGGAGTGGGAGGGGGAGGGAGAGGGAGAAAAGCGGGAAGGGGAGTGTTGTTTTGGCTCAAACGGCAATGGGTCAATTGCATGTGACACCATATCACGGGTTGTGCGGTGACCCAAATGGGAGGGGACGGAGGGGACGGAGGGGTTGGATAGAGGGGTAGAGGGAAAGGTGGTCCAGGAGGGACCACCTTTGAGATGAGTCAAGAGTGGGGGAACACAATACAAAAAGGGAAGCGGAGGGGGGCAAGGCAGGATTGGGAAGCAAAGAAAGGGGTTGGGAAGGTGGGAGGGCAGGAGGGATGGGAGGAAGCAGGGGAGAGAGGGCGGGAAGACGGAGGGTCAGGGCAGGATTGGGAAGGAAGCAAGGGGGGGCGGGACTAAGGGACGAGGGAAAAATGAGGCAGCGTGAGCGAGGGAGAGTATTCTGTTGAGGGAGACAGTGGGGGTGAATCAGTCTATGCGGAAGGGAGGTGGGCAGGGCAGGCCGGAGGAAACTAGTGAAAGCGGGAGTAAGGGAGGAGGGAAAAGGAGGTAGTGTGAGCGAGGGAGAGAAAGAGAGAGAGTACTCTGTTGAGGGAGACAGTGGGCGTGAATCGCTCCATGCGGAATGGAGCAGATGCGATGTCGATGCGTTGCACGTTGGAGCCCCCATTCATGGTCACATCGCCATGCACTGGCGTCAACCCGTGGAAGTCCACCTGCCAGTTCACATGCCATGCACAGCCATGCCATGCCATGCCATGCCATCCACACACCATGCCATGCCATCCACACACCATGCCATGTGATGGCACGCCACACACACCATGTCATGGAGAGCAAGCAAGCACATGCCATACCATGTAGCAGCAGAAAATTAGGTGACCTAAGCTGGGAAAGCTGCCAAGGGGGGAGCTGGAGAAAGGTAGTGAGGAGCAGGAGGGACGACGACTGGAGACAGGGGTTTGAGAAGAGGAAGGGGAGAATGGAGGGCAGGCTGGGGTGGGGTGTGGAGAGAGTTGAAGGGCGGGGGGAGAGCGGGGGGAGGGCGGGGGAAGAGGGAAGGGTCGTGTGGCAAAGCATGGGAGAGACTGGATGAAGAGCAGTCAGCAGCAGGAGAGAAATTGACTGACAGTCAAGTTTTGAGATGTCTCAAAACGTGACAGGAAACTCTCCCTACCCTCTCTCTCCCTCCCTTTTCTCACCCCCACGCTACGTTCCCCAGCCTTTTCCACACAGTTTCTAACTTACCTCTAGGTCAGCCTGCGGCGGAGGCTCAGAACCACGCCCGCAAAACCAATTCAACCCCACTGCGACCTCCAGCGTGCCCCCCCCTTCCACGAGGATCGAGAGCGTCTTGGAGGAGGGCGCTGAGAACTGGTAGAAGGCGCGCGTGCGACGGTACGTGGGGCGACGGGCTGGGAGCAGCTGCAGCGTGTGAATGACGACGGTGAGAGGCACGGTGAACGCGGAGAGGTGCAGATGGATTTCCGCCCAGGCCGACCCATGTGGGACCGTGATGAACGTGCGATGCACATCTCCTGCAGGAGGAGGGAAGAGCGGGTGTCGGGGCGGAGGGATGGAGGAGAAGGGAGGTGATTGGGATTTTGTGGCAGCCGCTGCAGCATGTGAGTGACGACGGTGAGAGGCATGGTGAAGGTGGAGAGGTGCAGGTGGATTTCCGCCCAGGCGGACCCGTGTGGGACCGTGATGAACGTGCGATGCACATCTCCTGGGGTGGGGGGAGGAGATAGGAGGGGCAGAGGGAAGGCGGGAGAGGAGTGGGGGTGAGAGAAGGAGGTGAGGTGGAGAAAGGGGGCATGGGGGGGGGGAGTGGAGGGGACGGGCCATGGAGGGGAAGAAGGGCCATGGAGGGTAAGAAGGGCCATGGAGGGTAAGAAGGGCCATGGAGGGTAAGAAGGGCCATGGAGGGTAAGAAGGGC